ATCTCCGTCCCCATCGAAAAGCCCCACCCCTTCTCCGTCGTCAAGCCCTGAGCCCTCCCCTAGTTCGAGCCCCTCGCCTAGTTCGAGCCCCTCGCCATCCGTAAGCCCCTCCCCCTCCCCGTCCGCTGTTCCCGCGCCGCTCCCATCCCTCGCTCCCGCCATTCCGTGCGACCCGTTGACGAAGGCCTTTTGCAATGGGCAGAATGGGGGGGCGAGCTACAGAATAGCGACAGTCGGCTCAATTACCCCCACCTTAGAGGCCTCTTTCCCAAACGCTTCACTGACGACCCCCATAACAATCGACGTTGTCGCCTTCGGCAAAGCCTCGCTCCCAGCTCCAGCCCGGACGTCCGTCTCCATTGATGCGTACGTCAACGGCTTTGCGCTCAGCCTGACGCAAGCGTCGCCGGATTCCGGCACCGTCTTCTACGAGCCGCATGAGGGGACCGTCACCTTTTCGGTGACCGGACCGGCGCTAGACGGTTTCGTGTACATGATCGAGGGCTTCCAAGCGATGGGCTGCTCTCCTGCTGACGCGTGGCAGGCCGCCGTCAACGGCACGCTCGGCGCGTGCTCCTGGGCGCACACCGCGGCCGGCCTGTACGCGCAATACGACCCGGTGACCCTCACGGCGGCCACCGGGGGGATCCCCCCCGCGCAGTGGAACGGCATCTACGTTTTGCAGCTGCACAGCGTCGCGGAAGTCGAGGTCCCCTCTAGTTCGCAGCAAGTGGACCCTCACACGACCGGGGAGATCCAGGGAGCTGCCGGCAGCGTCCAGTTTGGCGGCGAGTTTGCCTACTCGGCGACGGTTGACGGGGACGAAAGCATCAGCGCCTTCGCCGCCTACTTCCCGGGGGAGATGACCCCAGTTGGCGGCGACGGCGGCGCGCGCCGGCGCGCGCGCGCGCTGCTCGCGGCCGGCGGTACGGTGACGGTGAAGGTCGCGTCCGGGCTGCTGTTCCTGAAGCGCGGCAACACCACGTACGCGCCCGCGAAGGGCGCGCTCGAGTTCCGGGGCGTTGGGAACCGGTGGGTAACGTCATTCTCCGTGTCCGTGCACCAGTACACGAACTGCACCCCGGGCCAGTTCAACAAGGTGGCCAGCTTCGCGAACTGCACGTGGGCGGTGGTGCCAAATGACATCAGCATGACTTACAACGCGACCGCGCAAAAGATGGCGCTGGGCAATCTGGGGAGCACCACGTGGAACAGCGTCTACGTGCTGTCGGCCGAGTTGGCCATCCCGTCGCCTCCCCCCTCCTTAGCCCCGCCGCCGCCGCCCCCCGCTGAGGTGAAAACAGGGGGCTTGGGCAACAATATTGTACTTATTGTTGTTGTGTGCATAGCGGGTGCCTTTATTGTGGTGGGTCTGCCGCTTATGGTCGTTGGCGGGAGGAGGAGGAACCGGGAGAGGTCGCACATAGATTCACACCGACAGTAAAATAGGCAACGCTGCAACTTTCATTCTTTTGGCCCTGCAATTGAGATCAAATAGATTGCCGAGTTTGAGTTAAAGGTAGACTTGGAGAGGCGCGCTGAGATGAGAACGTTCATGAGCCAACGAGCCGCTCATGCCAAGCTTTGAGCGAGCAGACTTTGGTTAGTTCGTTGAGCAGATGCGGAAACGTTGATCGAGTATGCGCGTGTGCTAGAACGATAGAACGAGTCTGCACCCCGCGCCGTGCACCACGCATGGGCTTTGCTTGTTGTACTTTCTCAATGTATCAGGTTTGTTCATCTTTGAGATTTGCAAACGACGCCTGGCACGTTATACCACGTGATATAGTGGTGCCATGCCAGCTTGCGAGAGTGTGTGTTACGCGAAGCACACCCCAATAAAAACAAATCATACACAAACCTGGACTCTCATGATAGCCTACTTTTTATGCATATGATCACTGAGCATGTGATGCATGATGCAAATTGTGCTCGCGTACTGCCCGAACTTGCCTTAGAGAAACCCGATGATGTAGGTCCATAGGTCGCAACGCCATAATGTGGCGGCGAACTGAAAAAGCCTGGTGCGATCCGAGAAGTTCTTTCTTGGACAGTCGTCTCAGAAAGAATGCTTACAATCGTAAGACTCGGACGTACGCCGACGTCCAGCTATCCGGCCCAACAAGGCGCGGAACTTAACGTCTCGCATCACATGTCTGTCAAGCTTTCAGTTGGCGAACACGTGGATACATACCAAGTGCCATGTTAGATTATGATTTTTGATGCGCACCACTCCGCTGGCAAATTATAACGTACTTTAACGTCGAGGCCCGAATCGACTCGAAGAGTAACCACTTCGCAAAGTTTGGGCCCAACAATGACGGTCAATGCTGTAAGTACCGTACAGCACGCGTACCGCTAAAACAGCTCAGTGAAGCGCTGGCCTATATGTTGCATGCGTGAGGTTCCAAGTGGATTCTCTACGGCGGCAAAAGATGAGCGGAGACGCATCGCGTAACGTACTGAAGAATACCAACTGAGCATGAGCATACGGTGGGGTCGCTACGACACGTTGCCAGACTGAGCGGCCTGCGCGCGCGCACGATTCTTACGGGACCCCATGCCTGTGACTTGCGCTTGACAAAGATCATCTAGCGCATACACGAGGACCAGAAGTGACTGAACAAAATGAGGGCAATTAGATCGAAAGATTGCAGTCATCGTGTGATTCTGAGAGCAGGCAACCTGACGCGTTGAGTTCGGCACGAATGGCTAGCGTTCTTATAAGGACCCGCTTGTTTCTTGGCCAATGCTCGACGGTTCTGCAGCTCCCCCATGAAAAATTGGCTAAGGGCTAGCCGATCCGAGGCCGCCTTGCTCCCTAGGATGAAACCAGGACCACAGCCAGTCTTTCCAAAGAAGCTGCCACAGTTCACTCCGGACTACGACAGAATTGCAGTCAATCGCTGGAGGTCTCCAATGGGACTTCCGTGCGGATCGGAGCTCTTTGGCAGCCAACCCAGAACCTTTTCACACCAGCTCGCCCTTGAAGACTCTGTCGGTGTGAACGAGCTCGTGTCCAGGGCACGTCCGGCCATAACAGCCCAGTCTGCCACGTGCCAACAATCAGGAGGAGCTCCAATCTGCATCGACGGCCTCGGAGAGTGCAGCAGAAGCTGAAGAGCCCATCGGACGGCGCCCAAGGATCCGGACGCACTGACGTACCAAAGCAGCGTCCGGAGCTCGCTGCATAGATCCAACGAGCAATTCTAGGACTCGTACATGTTCACGTGCTTGTGAGGACAACTTCTTGCTGTTTTGAAGCAACCCAAAGGAGTCAAGAGCGGTGCAGGGAGTTTACCCTCAAATCTCGTTCCAGGAAAGTGCTCGTTCGTCCTCGGCAAGCGCTCAACCGCAACTTGTGACAGCTCGAACGGGCACAAGACACGGGTAGTACATCTCACTTTCCTTTAGCCTTAACTACGTCAAGATGTGAAAGGAAAGTGCTGTGATCGATCTCAGTTGATTGAACTTCGTTTGAAGAGACCCGCAGTAGTACCCAAATCTTGGGTCTTTCCGCGATATACTGAGGCTGAGGGGCTCACAAGAGCTGCATCTCTGAGTTGTGAGCAGAGAGACTGAAGACGATGAAGGTAGAAAGCGGACGGAGGAGAGAGGAAGCACGAGACGACACTTAGGATTCGAGGAAGATACGACTTTTAACTCTGTGTGACTCCCAAGACTTTGGGCCATACGGTCGATACAGCCGGACGGTTTACTTGCACTACAAGCCCACACCGAGTCCACAATCAATCTGGCAAAGTTCCGACAACCTACAACGGACCAGGACAATCAGGTCCACACTTATAGCAGGTACCAAGTAGCTTATCGAAGCAGACGTTGCATGACGTCACCTGGTCGAGAAGACCGGCCCCGCGCTCCTCTTCCTGCGCGCGTTCCACGCCGCCAGGCCCGCCGCGAGCCGCAGGAACGGCACCAGAATGGCCGCCGACACGGCGTCGTCGACCGTTACCGCCAGCTTCCGGTGGACGACCGTTATCGCCGCCCGAAAGTCGTCGAACACGGCATCGCGGCTCCAGTCGTCGCTCGCGGCCGCGAGCAGAACCTCCAAAACCTCGAGCGCCATTCCGGCGATGATTGCGGTGTCTGCGGTGTCGGGGGAAGCGGGGCCGAGGCGCGGCGAGACCACGAGGTTCGCTAACCAGGGGACTAACCCGGCGTGGTCAACTAGGTCGGAGGCGCACTTGTGGATGCGGACTGCGTGACGGAAGACCTGCGAAAGCAGAGGTGTGTCCCGTGAGCTCATCCGAAGACAGTCGAGATGGGTGCTTTTCCGTTAAGAGTCGAGATGGGTGCTTTTCCGTTACCATGGGCGTGGCATAAACGGTATGACGGAAAACGGAAAGCTGAGAGTTGGGGTGTCAAAAGCGTCTTCAGATGGGCGGAGGCGTCCGCAGGTAGATCATCCAAAGCGAGGGTCGCGTAACAAAACCAAGACTTTACAATGTTAGGGTACGACGTGAGGTGTTAAGCGGACAGCAATGTGGTTCGGTAAACTTTCTAGAATCTCGAGTAATTCCAGCATCAGAGGATCTAAGGATGTCTGACACGGGCATATTCACGACGCTTGACACCTGCTTGACTCCGAATCGCAGAGCGAGGCTTGAACTATTGAGGCCTCATACCAAACAAACCGTATCTAACCGCTCCTTTCTTTGGATCACAAGACCTGCATGTGTGAAAGCCTCCGGTCGGATGCGCTCCTGCACTGCTCAAATAAAAGAGACTCTCAAATCTCAGGAAGGAACTTGAGGCCTCCTTAGCCTTGTGAAACCCGATCGCATTCACACCGCTCGCCTACCTGCATGACCAGGTTCCCTGATTTTGAGGTGACCACCAAGGAAGATTTGAACTTCGCAAAAGCGGAGGGGCTGGAGAGAGCATTCACACCGGTCCTTTACCTGCATGACCAGCCTGCGTGTGAACGCGTCCGCCATGGCGCTCCCCGCGAAGCTCATGAGCAGCTCCAGCACGAAGCGCCGCCGGAATACGCGCCCGTCGGCTGACGTCACCAGGCCGGCCGCCAGCAGGCGCAGCATCCAGACGCGCTCGGTGCGGTACGACGGGGAGCCGCTGTTGAACAGGCTGTAGAACAACGGGATGTCCTGCGGAAAGAGTGACGTCGCTAAGTGTGAGATGAGGTTTGAGAACCTGACACTGATTGCTTGGGGGTCTGAATAAAGGACGTCATCAGGCCGACTAATGGATCACTGCATCTAGACGCGCTTGGTGCAGTACGACGGGGAGCCGCTGTTGAACAGGCTGTAAAATAACGGGATGTCCTGCGGAACAATGATGTCACTGGATTGACAATAGCTTTCAAAAGGTTGCTGCCTCCTAAATCTTTAAAGGCATGGTGCCGTCACTAACACGGCGTCACAAACACGTTTCTGAGGGCTTAGCACTTGCAGGACGTTGCACGGACGTAGTGCTGCGGCCAGCAGAGTATCAGAGCGGAAGACGGATCCGACCCTGGCTATTCTCAAGGTTTACCACCGCTTCAGCAGGCTTCCATGGGTTCACCATGCGGCGCCTGCTTCAGGTGGTTTCAGAAGATTTCAATCCCCCCTTGAGACGGTGAGCACAAGACGACGAATCTGCTTTGTGTTTCACCTCCAGATCCAGCGCCGGCCGCTTGAGCAGAAACTTGTTGACCGCCCCGAACAGCGCGTGCTTCAGATACGCGAGTCATCCATATGGATCATACTCGGTTGGCGAAAGATAAAAATCTAAACCTGAAACTCACCTCCAACTCCACCCAAAAATAAGTTTGAGACGAAGAATGCAGAACATCGTCTCATCTCCAAATGTAACGCCGGCCGCTCGAGCAAGACCGATTGAGCGCGCCATACGGCGCCTGCTTCGGGTGCATACCTGACTTGCGCATCAATCAGACCAACTCGTTTCCTCCCTCAACTTGAGGTATCACAATGTGTGACAACCAAATCTAAAGGAAGACCTTGCGTTTCGCCTCACCTCTAGATCCAGCGCCGGCCGCTTGAGCAGAAACTTGTTGAGTGCACCGTACAAGGCGTGCTCAGGGTGCATTTGGATGCAGGCCGCCTCCGCCGCGAACGCCGCTGACGTCATGGGGATGCGCTGGAGGGGCTCCGTGATGGCGTTTCTGACGTAATGCAGCAGCAGCCGCACCTGCTGCTTCTCCCGGAAGCTGGTCGCCGGGTCCTGCGAAGAAGGCAAAAAGAGATGGATTGGAGTTGGGAAATTGCATGTTGGAAGCAGATCTTTTGTCGCGACTTAGGAGAAGCAGTTGCAAACCTGCAAATGCTGGAAGCAAGGATACGTTCGCATCTACGGGGAACCGAGAGCAAGCCGGATCAAGGCAGTATCTTCCATGATAACTCAGAGCTTGCGTGCTGGAAAGCTAGCGCAAGATTGAGCTACGTCATGAGGTCAGTCTGCAAAAACTTTGGGTTTACTCTGGGAGTAGTCGATTCGATCGTCTGCACCCTGCGACCAACCGGAACACCCGACCTCGAATCTGCAAGCTGTGACTCTAAACTACTTTTCTGCAGCGCAAGGGCAAAGCGAAACGCAAACAAACGGCAAAGCGGAACGCAAGCGGACAGCGAATCGTAAAAGTCCCCACCTCTAGATTGGCCATGTAGAGCGCGAGCACGTTGTATCCCGCGCGGCGCATCCCCTCGTCCGCCGCCGCGAGCGAGGCCAGCGCGAGTTGCAGCAGGCCGGACCGCGCGAAATCGCGCGCCTCCATGGCGCTCGTCTTGAGGACGTGCACCGCGAAGGGCAACAGAAACGAAGGGTCGTAGGCCGCGCTTCGAAGCTCTGAAAAGAAAAGAATGTACGTTTTTGTCAGCTTTCAAGGAGGCTTCTGATATACACTGGAACGGACAGAAAAAGTCGCGCAGAAAAGACGTGCCTCCATGGCGCTCATCTTAAGAAGGCACAGTTCCTTTTGCACGGCGAAGGGCAGCAGAAACGCGGAGTCTTAGGCCGCGTTTGTAGCTCTACAGAGGAATGAACTATGTCGAGGTATGTCTCCTGTGCCTTTGGGTGGAGCGACGGTTGCGCTAGAAGAAGTTTGCAAATCCTCAAAGTGCACGGCGTACGGCAGCAGAAACGAAAGCAGAAGAAATGAACGGTCGTACACCGCATTGGAAGCTCTGAAAAGGAGCAGATGTTCGTCAAGGTGTGCACAAAAGTTCCTGGTACGCTTCGGAAGTGAAAGACGATCGCGCAAAGTCGAGTCTGCCCGTCATGGGAAAGTGCACGGCGAAGAGCAGCAGAAACGAAGGGTCGTAGGCCGCGCTTCGTAGCTCTGAGAAAGAAAGAATGTTATCATGGTTGAGAGAAGTTTTGGAACTTCTGATGGTAAATCGATCAAGGAGTAAATGTCAGGCCGAACCTTTTTCTATTTCTAGAGGCGAAGACTGTGCGGTTGACCCCGCCGGTGGCATGGCAAGGAAGCCAACGAAACGAAGCGCACTAACCCAAGTTGCTAACAAAAAAGAGCTCTTGGGGTTTCAGATACCCGAGGATATAGTTCCGCACCTTCTTCCGGGTCGACCGCCGCACCCTTGTTCCGCGTTCCCTCGTCCGGCTGAGCAGGGTACAAGCTCCGGCGGACCGGAAAGTAGAGCACCGCCAGGCCGCACCGCCGGGGGTCGAGTGGGCTCTCTTCCCGAAACTGGCGGGACCGAGCGCCGGTGTCGAACGCAACCCCTGAAAAGCAGAATTTGGACTATGCTTTATTCACAGGGGTTCAGCTGAAGTGCTTGAAAGTCTGTTCGTCTGACTGGACTGGTAAAAGATGTGATGTAAGAGCACGGCCAGGCCGCACTGCCGGGGCTTAATGGGCTCTCTTCCGGAAACTGACGGGACTGAACGCCGGTGTCGAACGCAACCCCTGGAAAGGAAGTTCTTGTTTAGGGTCAGCCAAAGGGGTTTGCCTGAAGTACTTAATAACTTGTTTGCTTGACTGGACTGGTAATAGATGTGATGTGAGAGCACGGCCAGGCCGCACCGCCGGGGGGTAGTGAAATCTCTTCCCAATACTGACAAGACCGAGCGCCGGTGTCAAACGCACCTCCTGGAAAGAAACCTTTAGTAGTGTGTGGCTCGGTTGTTGCTTGAGGGCTTGAACAGAGGAGAGCACAGTCGGCTTGACCGGGTATAGTGGGCCTGTCTGCAAATGTAGCGGGACTCAGCGCTGGTGTCGGACAAAACGCTTGGCATCAAACAATGATAGCATTCGGTTACGGATTTTCGCGAGAACTTAGCTGCGGCGAAATCGAGGCAGAGAGGATGCGCAGCTCAATAAGATCAAATGTTTGCCACTCCAAGCGAAAGGCGTCGCTTCTGGATCAGCCCGAAACCGGAACAGCGGAACGGATCCAAACAAAGACACCTCGGCTTTCCGTCGGATTGGCGCCAGCTGATCGCGCAGGCATCGCTATATCAGAGCAAGGAAAACAGAATCCACTTGGAAATTCTAGACCGCCCACGAGAGCTTTCAACGTGCGCGTACGATATCTTCTCAGTCCGAAGCAAAAGCAGACGCTTCGAACTTCAAGAAGAGGGGTCCTTGCGCCGAACGAAATGCGGCCCTAACCTGACAGTCTCTGCTCCTGGCGCGATCGCAGCGCTCGCTCGCCCCACAAATAGTCCATCCCGACCAGACCCCGCGCGCCTTCCTGGCCGTCGATTTGCCGCATCAGGTGCAGGATCCGACGGTCCAGACCGCTCATCGTCGCCCCATAAGCGGCCAGCAGCAGCGATAGAAGATCGTCCACGGGTTGAGCGTCGGTGCCCCCGCTAGAGTTTGCGTGCGCTTTCCGGAGGCCTAGAAGAACCGTTAGCAGCTGGACTACTTCTGATTGGGCGGTGTTAAGTGGCTCGCTTTTGACAGGGGCTGCTGCAGTTCTGATGCTCGATCGCGTGCCGTGTTCGGAACTCGGATTTTGACTCCTAGCTAACGAACGACCCGCTTCGTTCGGGGCACTGCCTAACGGAAGGGGTGACAGCAGCTCCGTGATGATTCCCGACACTGACGCTTCAGCATCGGCAAACCCTTCCGCGTTTGCGCCCGCTTTTCCCGCCGCCATTTGCGGGGTGCTCCTTTCAAAGCCCACCGGCAATGGAGGGGTGTCTAGCAACGAAAGAATGGAAGCTAGGGAGCTCGGCACGAAGTCCCCTGAGTGTTTTCCTAGCGCCTCCGGGAGGGGTTTGACGTTTTGGTTAAGGGAACCCCTTTCCGCTCGGCTCGCTAGCAGAGTCGGAACGAACTGCGAATGCGAAACCAGAAGGTCGAAGAGCCTGGCCCCCATCTCGGCGACCTTTTGGCTGTCAGATACTGACTGGTCGCCGGAGACACCCCCGCCTTTGACACCGTTTGCGACGCCGTCGTCCGCTGTCGTCTGTCCCGCCTCCATTGGGGTAACACCATCCTCTGCAATTTCCGCTAACCGACTTTCTAAAGCCGATTTGTCCGTGCTTTCTCCGACCGCGGCCAGCAGTAACCGGGCCACGGTTAAGCTCACCACGTCCGCAAACCGCCACCTCAGCACAGACTCCACGAAGCTCGCGACCGCTGCCGCAAACTTGTCCGTTAACCCTGAAACATTACCCGCCGCCTCTGCCAGCAAAGCCAGTAGCCCTTCCTCTAACCGCGATTTAACCCGCTCGGTTTCCCCTCCAGAACCCCCTTGTGACCGGTGCAGACCGGCCAGTGACGTCATCAGGGTCTGGGCGTATCTGCGCAGGTGTTTAGAGTGGATTTGAACGTCTGAAGACGTGGGTGCTTCCTCCGTTTTGTTCGGTCCGCTTTCTACTCTTTCTTCTACCTCGCCCGTGTTTAGAATCAGTAGCCTCGCCACAGCTGCTGCCTGCTGCAAGCAATGCACTGAACGGATTCTAAACTGCGTCCCACTGTCGTGCTCTTCCGCACCCGAACTTGCTGAACCGTTCTCTTTCGATCGGCTCGGGGCAGTGAGAGCTTCTGGCCCTTCGACTCTCCACCCACCCTTTGGCAGCAGTTTCCGTAGTAGCCGACTCCGTTCCTTCGTCGAGACCGGAACCAGAGCGGAACAGCAGCGGAACAGCTCCACTCCGTTCCCGATCGGCTCCGCTGTCCCCACAACTTCCGACTCCTCACTTTCCAGGACACGTGTCCCGTTCCCAGGGCCTTTCGCGGCCTGTGCTTCAAGCCCGTCCGTTTTCCGCTTCTTTGCCGTCCTTTCCTTCTCTTCAGCAGCATCTCCTCTGCCCGTTTCAAGCCCTTCCGAAGACAGCGTTCCGGCTTCCGCTTTCCGCTTGGCCCCTCTCCGGTTTTTCGTGCCGCCGTTGAGCGCCGTGCCTGGCCCCTCTAACCCAGAACTCCCTCTTAACCCGCCTTTCAAGGCGTCCTCTGTGAGGTCTGACCCAGGGTTTACAAGATACTCTGTCACCAGACCCAGGAAGAGCTTCGCAACGGTCACTGCATCGCCTGAACGTTCCGTTTCCGGCCCCCGTAAACTTGCCGCTCCTTCCTCTTCTCCGGATTCCGCAGAATCTTTGCTCGTCGCCTCGCGCAGATACTCCTCGACAGGGGCGACCAGAAGCAGCTTGTTCTCAGCCGAAGTGTCGCCTAACAGCCTGCTCAGCTGCGCTCCAAACTCCGCCCGGTGCTCTGTACTGTGCCGCACAAGAACGCGCAGAATCTCCGCTCTAGTTTCCGAGGGCTGCTCCACGTACGTCCGAACCAGGGCCGTCGGGGTCGCCTTCGCCAAGTCGTTGAGAAGAAGAAGGCCCCCGGTTTGCGAGTGGGCGTCCGAATCGATCGGACGGTGTTGAGATGCGGAGCCCATCGGACGGCCAATGGAAAGCGGTCCATTTGGACGGTCTCCGGACGATGACGGGACCGTACCGGACAGAGGAACGCCAACGGTTCTATAAGCCGTTTCCAACAACGCCCGCTCAGTGCTACGCAGAGCCGCGAGGAGGCACTCGTCCATTCCGTCCGTTCCGCTCGTTCCGTCCATTCCGTCCGGTCTCCCGTCCGCGACTGCAGGGTCAGCGACCCTCCGGTACACTTCCCGGAACTTCGCCACCCCGACGCCAGTCTCCGCGCCAATGGCGCCCTTTGCTGACGTCACCGAAACGTCTAACGTCAGGGCCCTTGGCGGCTCCGACAAGACTTTGCTTGCGAGCTGGAGAGTTAGCCGCCGGAGAGCGGGGGTTTTGAGCGCGTCCGATGCGCGGCTTCTGTGCGGGACTAGGGGCAGTCGCAGCTCGGGATTTTGGAGGATTTGGGGTGTTTGTGCGAGTGGCGGCAAAAGAAGGTCTAGCAGGCGGAGCAGGGAGGTGGTTTCGCCGAAGGGGACAAGCTTGATGGCGGCCTCCAAGCCCTGCACGCAGTGGTGACGTCAGACTTGATACTTTTGCTGACGTCCATCGTTGTTTTCGCTGTTCAGAGTGATGTCCCCGTCCCTCAAACTTTGGATGTCGCAAGGAATGCATTTTGATAGATTTGCGATGATCTCTTGATCAGACTGCAGGAGATCGCAAGACCGAAAACCAAGCCAGTCAAACGCTTGCCCACATTTGAGCAAAAGCTTTGACCCAGAAAACCAGACTTCAGATGTCGCACACTATGCACGTTGACAGAAGCAACAGAAAACTTTGCTTGCTCCGCTCACCTCGTCACTTGCGTCTTTCCTCAGCCGCTTCTCCACTTGCACCACTGCCCTTTCCACGTACGGTGAACACGCTCGCTCGAGCGATTCCCTGCTGACGTCACTGAGCCCCGCTCCCGATTCCTTATGAACAGTCGGTTCGGATTCTGCAAAGCTCCCCGCCGCGCCAAATGCCACGCTGTCAGGATGCGCCGCCAAGAGCAGATCACGTACGAGGTCCGCAATCCTGCAGTTTACTTCCGCGGCTCCCGTGACGTCATGCTGGCGTAGAAAGCGCGTGGAGAGCGCGGGGTGCTGGAGCGCATCTACGGCGAGGGCTGGATCGGTGAAAGCTTGAACCACCGTCTCAGGCTGGGCTAAGGAGAGATCCCGGTTGACGGGGGGTGTGAATACGGCTTGTCTAAGAAGGCCAAAGAGAGTGTCCACACCAGAAGTAAGGGTTTGGAGATTATCCTCATTTACTAATGATGAATGCAAGTGGTGCAGGAGCACGCGGACAGCTGTCGCGCGCTGGATGGCTGTGAGGGGCTTGAGGAGATTCCCGAGGAGCGTCTTCACACCGGGGGTTTCGAGGGAAAGAACGGAAGCGGCTGACGGGCTTTCAGGATGGGGGGGAACTCCGCACACTGGAGAGAGAAGAGCGGAAAACGGAACGGTCGACAGGAAGCTCGCTAGGGAATTATGTTGCGCCTCCGTTCGTCTGTCCGCTCCCTTCACCTCCGCAATCTCACTAGCCTCCTCTAGTATTTTCAGTGCCTTTCGAAACGCCTCAGGACTGCACCGCGCCGCCGACGAAAGCAGCCCGGGATCGGTCTTGACGAGATCCTGCAAAACGCCCCCCCCGATCGCCCTCGCCGCTTCCGTCGTTTCCATCCCGGCCCCGCAAAAAGCTGACGTCAGCTCGGGGAGTGTGCGGGCCACCTCGCCCGGGGGTGACGTCAGCAGGGCGTACCCCAGGGCACGTGCCAGGGCTGGACGGTCCGAGGGATCCCCCGAAGCGTAGTCTTCGATCGCCTCGTCGAGGGCGGTAGAAGGGGTTTGCAAAGGGTTTGCAAAGGAAGTTAGGGTTTCGGACGGTCCGGTGAGGATGGTTTGAGCAGCTGTCCGAAGCGAGAACAGAGGCGCCCACTCGCAGGCGGAGGCCTCTTCCTGCAGAAAGATGAGGGGTTTCAAATCATGGCTTTTTAGGGCGGGGCGTCTGGTCAACTGGGAGATTGCAGCAAAAGGGTACCAGAAAGGGGGTCACTTTCAATTTCCATATGCATCTAATCCCACATTTTTGAAGCTTAAAGGAGTCTGGGAACGTGTTGCTGTGACTGCGTTTAACGCACAGGTAACCAGACTCTAGACCTAACTACGCCTCAGGTGCTTAGCAAAAGTCAGTCAATGATCTTCACATTGTATTGTGCTCGGGCCCAGAAGGACGGCATCCCATGAGCGTTCCGAAGCAGGCACTCCACAACCCGCACAATACATGGAACAAGTCGAGAAGCAACCCGATCCCAAAAATGAACTTCCACATTGTATATAGACAGCAGCATAGTCGAAGTTGGCTCTCTCTACCAGATTCCCAGCTGCAATCGGTCGGCATGAGATTGAAACCAACGTCCCTGACAACTGCCGTGACAGAACGGAGAAGATCACCGACTAAGCGAGCCCTTTAAACTTACCTCACTGATTTCCGCCAACAGATCCACTACCACAACTGCAAGCGTCCTCGGATTGCGCTGCACTTCTAGCAGCCGCCTCAGCGACCCCGCCACGTAAGCAGCGATGCCCGTCTTCCTAAGCAGCCCCAAACCGCCGGGTTTCCCCGCTGACCCCTTTCTGTCCCCCTCCGACTGACCGGCTGCCAAGACCTTGAGGCACTTTTCGATCGCGCACACGACCAGGGGGCCAAACTCAGGGCCAGAACTGCACCCCCTCGCAAGAACTTCTCGTTCCCCCCGACCGGACGAGCCAGCTTGAGGCGGCATCGTTTCCCACCCAACTGGAGCTTTAATTCGCTGGTTCGGACCGTTCTTCTCCTCCGGAACCTCTAGAAGGGTATGCGCAGAAAGCGCCGATTGAATGCGTTCCAAGAATCTATAAGGGTTCTTGCTGACGGCGAAGAATGCATCAGCGAAGAAACCGGCGACGGAGTCGGAGAGGCTGAAGGAGGGGCGCCCCTCGGAGCTTGCGTCCCAGCGTGGAAGGAGTTCGAGCCACGTGGCGACCTCCAGTTGGTGGGAGAAGACGCCGGAGGCCATCAGGCTTTGATGCGCCAAGGCTTCGGCCTGCGAAATATATGAAGGCCGAACTCGTCAGACCAGAATTCAAAGAAAAGTGGATGTGCTCAGAAGCGGAGTAACATGCAGCAGGCCCTCGACGTCCGCTACTGAACAGTTCTTAGAAGACTTACGACGCTCAAGACTATGTTTGGTACTTCAGGAAGCGGAACAAGTGGAACGAGGATCCACATAGAAACAGCCCTCGTCACTCTGTCATCCTGTCTGACAATACTTCATAGTTTTTGACGGATACTTCAATCTCTGCAGGGGATCTGATCCTCAAACGGCGTCTCCAATACTATCCAGAACTGCAAATATGACGATTCTCGTCTTTGTCAAAGTGACGCCGGACCTCAAACGTTCCTCACACTTCAGAATTCAAGTACATTCTTTATTCCTTCGCGTTTCGAAGAAGGACGTCCAGACCCACAAAAACACCTGGTCGTGACGGTTGTTGCCCCCCGAAAAGCAAACCTTCAACTCCAAGGATCAAACCGGAACACTTTTCCCTCTACCAAGAAGTACAGAGAGTCCCAGCATACCTTCTCGCGCAACTCCTCAGTAGTGCCCCCCAGCATCTCTCTCAGCAGCGGAAGCAGCTGCGGGCTCGCGCCGGACGGAACGGCGGCGGAATCCGCTCCCGCAGCTTCGGAGGCGGCCGCGAGGAGCTCCAGGAGCGCTGCCTGCTTGCCACGTGGCAGCTGGGCCGGGTTGTCCGGGAGAAGTTTGTACGGGTTGAAGCGGCAGGCGGCGAGGGCGTCCGGGAGAGACCGCTGCACAAAGGTACCAGCCTTCAGTGTCGGGGAAACTTACTGAGATGTAAAGGAGTATTGTGTCAGACTGGTGTAAGCGATTTGCGCAGCTCCTCGAAAAGATCGCGGGATATGAATGCAGAAGCAGAAACGAAGAGTGGGTAACGCAATGGCCATCCGATCCAGATCCTGTTGCCACCCTGACGCGAATGCTCCAGAACTGTCTGAATGACCCGCTCAAGACACATTGCACCCTTTCTAATGATACAGATTGCGATCGAACACGCTGGCCCAATATGCTCGTTGAGCTCCTAAAGAATATTGACGAGCAGGCGAACGCAACCAAACCCATCATGGGCACTGACCTCCAAACAGCACCAATAAACGAAGAAACAAACGAAGTAGTCGTTTCGCTTTGATTCACGAACCTGATAGCCCGCCAGAACCTCCAACAGCTTCAGGTGCAATTCTTCCGTAGACACGCTTTCTTCGGTCTCGTCCTCCTCCAAACCCTCTTCTAAACCCTCCGGTTTGCCGCCCGTGCGACCGGCGTCCCCTTTCTCGATTGTGGTGTTGAGCGCCAAAAGTATCTGCGGGTCTGGCAGGAGCAGCCGGGCCCCGTCGGCGAGTTCGTTGAGAATCGGTGAACCGGTCGCTTTGAGCTGCGACTGCGCGGAGTGGAGGGACGCCAGGACGGAGGAGAGAACGGCCAGCAAGACGAACTGTTACAAACAAAGTTTCGGTTAGCGTCAACCCCATCTTCGCTTAACTGGCAACAGAAAGGAAGACAAATTGTTTCCAGAAAAGAAACGAAACGAAAGTCTTCGATCGGCGTCGATGGAAAGCTCCTCACACCTGCATTTCTTGATACAGCGCCTACTGGTACAAGACCTTCTATGCTCGGTTGGTTAGCGAAACACAATGATGTCGACCAAGCAGTATCGAGGGAATCCTGACGATAGGAGCTTCACCCTTTCATGCGAAGCCCGATTTTGACCGCTGCAGTGTCCTCTTCCCATTCAAGTCGTCATCGAATTAGTGATCGTCGTGATTGGGCACTACGTGTGCGGAATGACATCCTATTCGCAATGTCTGTCCCTTAGAATCAACTGTTTTTGTTTCATGTCGTTTCAAAGAACCCGCTATCATCACTCAGCGACACGAGAACCCTGAGGTTGCAAGCTTCGCGGCTTACCTTAGTCGAAGTGCTGCGATGCTAGAGCGCTCGGCTTAGGACTCCGCTCATGTATCCGCAAGCACCAACTTTCCAATAACACGAGAATCCTGAAGTTGCAGAATACGCGGCTTACCTCGACTGAAGTGCTGCGATTCTGGAGCGCTCTGCTTAGGACTCCGTCCAAGTATAAGCATGCACCAGATTTCCAATGACACGAAAACCCTGAAGTTGCAGAATTCGTAACAGCGTTTGACTTCGTCGGCAGATTGATTGGCCTGCTGAAATTCCAGAGATATGTCTCAAGCAGTAATGGACCGATAATGGTACTGTTTAGCAGGTAACATTGGGTCTGCCGAGCTCCTCAGACGTTTCAAAAGTAATCATTTGGCGTCAAACTTGACGAGAGTACTGTAGGCGGCTTACCTTGATCGAAGTGCTGCGATGCTGGAGCGCTCGGCTTAGAACAGCCCGGGGCAAAGCGGGAGTAACGATCCGGGTCAGGAGCGCCTTCACTGTTAGAGCGCTATGGTCGGCCGAGAGTCCCTCCCGGGAGGCGAATGCAACGAGTTTGCGAAGGAGGGTCATGGCTGCAAACCTGCGCGAAACGGGTGGTGAGATGGACTTCTCGCTTTGGTGTGAGATGATAACCAGGACTTTGGCTCGGGAAATGAGCAAAAGGGTCACAGACAGACGCTTTAAATCGTTGCATGTTTTAGGGAAAGCGGGCTAGTCATTTTTAAGATTTTGTCAGATTGCCTCTTCTGTTTGGGTCACTCTGACCATCTGCAGGCGCATTTCTCCTGATTAGGAAGGGTCCAGTCACTACGTACGCTAGCGCTCGCGACAAAGCGTTCAACTGACACGGGTATATGTGAAAAACTTAGAGAACTACAGAGCTAAGTTAAAGTCCTTTCGACGACAAAAGCATACCTTTGCCAGGACCGCACAATCTGTAATAATGGGCCCAAACGAAGTCTTGTACTCAAATTGGCAAGCACGCAGGTCCTTATTCAAGGCCCCCCACACTGTGTACGCGGTAAAACGGAAGCCTTCGTATATCAATCAAACAAGCAATGCTTCCAACAGACGCGTCCCGAGACCCCTTGCGGTTTCGCGGGCTACACGCGCTCTCCTCAACCGTTCTTACTCCTTGCGAATCGAAAGCTCACCAGCGGTCGGACGTCCGCGACTCCAGCGAGTACGGACATAAACGCTCACCAGCGGTCGGACGTCCGCGGCTCTAGCGAGTGCGGATATAAGCGCTCACCAGCGGTCGGACGTCCGCAGCTCTCAAAAATGGACATAAACGCGGACCAGGATCGAACGTCCGCGGCCCTGACTATGGACAAAGACGCTCACCAGCGATCGGACGTCCGCGGCTCCAGTGAGTACGGGAACGCGGCCAGGTACGCTGCCGCGACGGCGGGCTGCTCCTTGGTCGCACCGATGAGAAGGTCCGAGTGCCGCTGCACTTCGGTGGCCTTGAGCTTCAACAGCGCGCGCAGCAGCCGCCCCTGTGAGGCCGCGTCTTTGCTCTTCTTCCCTGCAAAAATCGTGACAAAGAACCAGAAGTCAGGGTGCATTTCTCAAACCGTGCCATTTTCAAGGCGTGCTCTAAGAAAGAAGGAAGCGGAAACGGATTGCGCTTTGAGCTTCAAAAGTGCGCGGCAGCCGCCTGTGTTTGGCCCGCTTGCATTTCTTCCTTGCCGAAGCGGACAAACAAATCTGCGAGATTGTCCTTTCAAAACCAGATTTCAAAAGAAACCACTAACACTGTTCTGTGGGCGGATAAGAAAAAAAAATGGGTTTCCGTCGCATCAAGAGTTTCAAAATGCACGCAGCAGCCGGCGCTCTATCAACCGTCGTTCCTCTTTGAAAGTAAACATTTGAAGAAGCGGAGCTGAAAGCTCTATATTGAACACTGAGACACGTACTCCATGCCGAGAAACGTCACGCAAACGGGCTGAGGCGAAGAAGTCAAGCCCCACCTGCAACCTGTGCTGCGGGGCAGACGCCATGCGCGGGGTCGGAGAAAACCCACAGCAGCACGTCGTGCGCTAGCGAGGCGGGGCGGGCTAGGCTGACGTCACCCGTGTCGGGGCTGTCGTCGAAGGCCGCGATGTTGATGAGCTGCTCGAGGGCGATGTCGCCAAAGAAGACGCCCTGCAAAAATTCAGAGACGGAATAATGTTTTGTAGGGAAGCATAATCTTGAGCTGTGCACCCTGCAGAAATCAGAGGTGGAGAAGTGTTTTGTACGGAAGCATAATCTTGAGCTGTGCGGGAAAGAACGATTTCGGTAGCAAAAGTAAAGAGAGTGCACGATCTCAATTACTGAGTTTAGAGCTCTGAGAGAATTGTCGAGCTGAGAGGGATTGAGCACTTGGTAGTCAATCGAACAGTCCTCAAACAAGGCCTTGTTGTCCCCAGCTTGGGCCACGTGGTCACATGCGGCTCTGACAACCGGCGTACCTCTGAAAAGGGCCGGCCCATGTAGAGCGACAAAAGCGGATCACAGCAATTCCGCCATACGAAACAAAACTGTGCAACATTAGAAGTTGGAAGGATCTGGCCAAATTGACCGTTGTCGAAAGGCTATTTCTCAGCTTACAAGCTGTGCTCTGAACGGATGCGAGGCGCTGAGAATCACCGAGGTGCTTGCGCATGGTGTAAATACGCACCTGGAGTCTGGCCGGGACCCCGGCAGTCTCTGGCAGGACGTGCGCCTGAATGGCGGAGAGCACCCGGGCGATCTGCTCCGCAGAGTCGCCGTACAGGTTGTGGAGGACCGGTGTGAAAAGGCTCCGCTTCTGGAGGGCAGAGCGCGTGGTCAGGGGGTCCCCCACCTGGGAAGAGGAAAGCGTCGCCGGCTTGACTTTCTCGGCATTCAACTCGGCGGTAGAGCGGAGACACTGAATGCGCTTCGTTGACGACCCCTCTAGCACTCAAGAGGTCGTCCCAGAACAATCCAACATACAAAGTTGCTGAACTCGGCGGAGGAGACTGATCATTGTTGCGGTTCTCAGCGGCGTAGCGCACATTGAATTGGCAAAAGTCTGCTGTCCTAAGTGAAGGGGTTCCAGGGCTGGAAAAGGATCATGCTGCGGAGTCGGAGGTAAACCAAGCAAGCCCGTTTGTCCGCGCCGGTTGTCCGTGCAAAATCAGTGTCAAATCCCTGCTCTTACCAGTATGAACGACAGCGCAAACTCCGTAAACACCGCCCTGGTGCTCCGCTTCTCCGGATTGTTTCCCCCCTCTCGTTCGCCCTTCCCTGTCTGCTTCGGAGGCGCCGCCAGCTTCGCCAGGCTCGCCAGAGTAAAATCAAAGGTTCCGACGAGCTCCCCCGAGAGCGACTTGCCGCGCCCGTTGATTGCGGTCAGCAGCATGAGGCACGCGTTGGCGCGGCCGCGCTGGCCGGAGGTAAGGTGGCCGTACACCTGCTTCATGCGCTTCCTCACAATCTGCAACAAACAAAGCAAGACCTCAACTCTCACATGTCAGAACCTTGAACTTGTTGGGGTATGTTAAGGCGTTGCATGTTTGGGCTGGCTATTAATCTCCTTGATGTGCTCTTTCACAATCTATAAGGTAAAAATCTCACAAACATAGAACCTTCGAAACTCAGAGAGTGCCCACACTTTTTGAAAGGCGGGCGGAGCACAAAGTAGAACTGCTGGGAGATTGCTGCGCCCGCGCTGACGGCAGGTCTGGCGACTGTTAAGCTTCTCCATGAGCCCTTTCACAAATCTTAGTATCACATGCAAAAGCTTCCTCTTGGTACTTTCTCAATAAAGAGTGATTACTCGACTCCGAGATGAACCAGGATCACCGCACCAGAGTTCATTCTGGCTATGCGCGGGATGGGGAAACTTCGTAGCGCCCTTTGCGCGTTGTGGAAACCAGATTGCATATAATCAAAGGGCAGCTATTATCTTTAAGACTTCATGATCGACACATCAAGAAGCCGTCGATTGACCGCGCGCGCCAGGCCGCAGCTAGAACAGGGATGACCAAACCTCAATGTATGTATGCAGACTATATTTGTCTCTTCTTCTGAATATCGAACATTCAAGCTGATGATGACTTGTAACAAAGTCGTGTGTTCGCAGAGACGGATCCCCGCAAAGTGAAGAGGAGCCTGCTTGACCAGTAAATTGAACAGGACGACAGGAATTGAACACCGCACTTGCGAGCGCGGGAAGAAAGAGGATGCGGAATGAGACCTCACATTGCGTGCCAGTCCGTCCAAGCGCAAGTGTACGACGGCCGCCTCTTCTCGAGAGGGGTCCTTGAGCGGCGACTGCTTCAGGTGCGCTGATGTTCCTAGCGGGTGCCGCAGCAGGTCCGCCACAAAGAGCAGCAGCTGTTGACACACCTTGTGGTTGCCAGCCTGAGAGCAGACAGGGTAGTTGATATGTGTCAGGAGAGAGTCTTTTAGTGTGTGTCAAAAGGACTGCGGCAATTCTGCCAAAGAAACCAGGACTCTCCCAGAATGAGGTTATGCGAACATGGTCACTCAATGAGCGACTGTTCAGTTGCAGTGGAAGGCAGATTTTGCCATGCGTTTACAGCGACAAGAAGTACGAAGAGGTACAGCGATTGTCAACAGCGCATAATGTGGTCGTTGAATCAAGGACACCACCACAATGAGTGTGGTGGGAACAAAATATATGTACTTGACAGTAAATTTATGTACTTGATAGTATCAGAATGACCTCTTCAACAAGCTGGCAGATCGTCGCAATTGTATCAAGGCCGCAAAACATGACGGGCTGGCCCCTCGAGGCAGAAAGATCATTCATCTGTTCCTGAGCTTAACGTCTATTCTTCACCTACACATCAGTCTGCAAACCCAATCAAAGTTTCAAGATGTGAACGAGGGACATTTGAATCATCAAAACCTTGAATCTCCTTCGGCCATGGCAAGCGACGCTTCACCAAAGGCTTTCTAAGGAATGAAAGGGACCTGTTGCAGACTGCAATGCTGTACTCCGACTCACCCCATGATGCACCTCCCAGGCATGAAAGACCTCCGTCCACTCCGCAGACATGTTTGCCAGCATTCGAAGGCGTTCGCCCTTTTCATCCCCCTCCAAGCCCTTTCTGCAGTAGGAGACCGCCTCCTGTGCTTTCTCCGGATCTTTTGCCTGCATCTTTTCCACTGTCTCAACAATCGTCCTGAGCTCTTCCCCCTCAATTGCGCCGAGGCCCCTGTTTCCCAAGGCACTATCAGCATTCATCTGCGGATAGAGGCCGGTTCCATTCTCTGCTGATGGCCCGGTGGTATGAAGGTTGGTGTCTCCGGGGTGAGGCGATGCTCCTGCATTCAGCTGCCAGGTGGCGGCCCAGGGGGCAGAAGCGACCGGTGTGGCCATCAGCGATGGTGGTGGAAAGTACAAGCAGGAGGTGGTGCAGCTCCAAAGTCAGCCCCTTTGCTGATATGCTGTCAGAACTTCCTTGAAGCTACATACACTGATCAGTCTGCTAACAGGGGAATCGCTCGGCCGTCTTTCTTGCCCGCTCGGCCTCGTTCATCTTCACATCTACAGCATGAAGGCATTCCGGCGAGAAGAGGCTAGATACTCCAGAACCTCAGAAACACAAGCGCTTGCTTCTGTGACATTTAATCTCATCTAACCATCCCATCTGTCCTTTCCCTTGAAATTGAATGTTGAGGGATTGTTGAATGCACCATGCAGGGCTTGTGGGGCCAGGCAGAATCGAGACCGGGCAGTCGAGCATGAGAGGTACTAGGCAATCGGTAATGCTGGAGCGTCGTCACAGATTAGTAAACCCTGCGAAAACCATTATCGGTGCGTTACCTCCTGGGGCCTCAGTTCAGATCAAGGTACGGTACCGGGGCCTTTGCAAGGAGCTGTGCAGTGTGCGCAGCCTGCACAGTGCAGGTCCATCGCCATTTTAATTACTGCCGTCTTGTCATTTGACATTCACCTTGAAAGTTCCGTGTTGAGGAGGGCGCCCTTGTCCTGTCTAGCTAAGCCAGGGGCGCCCCCTGCCCTTAGGTAGATTGTCCAGGGTGGCTTCCTCGTCTGCATCCTCCCCCAGACTATCTTATTGTGGTTGAGTCAGCAGCAACATGGTTGCGGCGGTTCTCAAGGCCAGCGCCGTGGGGGCATGGGTCAGCTCTTTTGGCATCCCCTCCGGTCACTCTAGTCGATGCAGCACCTGGGTGTCGCAGCTGGCCTTCGAGCCGGCAAGAACCAGGCGTGTTGACAATGTCGCCATCCGCTGCGCCCAGAGGTGGCCTCTGGCGCCGTCAGATTCTGGGCTGAGCGGCAGCTTTAGAGGTGACAGACTGGGGTGGAAGGTCGTTGTACCCGAGAAAAGCACGCGGACGAGGACTGTCAGGGTTTCTGCTTCTTCGCAGGACGACGCGAATCTGCCAGATCCTTTTGACGGCATTGACCTGGACCCCGGCGTCTTCAAAGAGCAGACGTTCCAGAAAGTCAAGGCGCAGTACAACCAGCCGCTGAACCTGGACGACTTCCTGGGCGACGAGGCCCTTATGGCCGAGCGCGAGGGACAGCAAGTCTTGGGGAAGCTGGTCCACGAGCGTTTCGAGGTGCAGGAACTAGTAGCGGAGGGCGGGCCTGTCCAGATTTGGAACTGGATGAAGCGCGCACAGGGCATGCTCGGGGCCCTGGCCCTGACTGTTGTCATGCTGATGCATATGCCGGGACCACCGAAGCCGCCCGTGATGCGGGATCTGGCGCCCCACAGGAGGGCCGTCAAGGCCGCGGCGCCCCGCCGAGGCAGGAATGCTGCGCTGCGAGGCACTCCTCTGAATGAACATGGTAGGTGACATTCTGTGACCTCTTTGTTGCTGAGTCTGTCTGATCCATTTGTTGGCTTGACCTGGGCTTCTCAGCGTCCTTGTCTGCAGACGGTTCTTTTTGCATGGCCAGATAGCATCTCGTACCTTTGAGCATCTTGAAGACTTCGTACGTACACTTTATCAAGCTGGTCTATGTATCTCTGGTTGCAAATTCCTGGGTCAGTTCTTTCATAGTCATTCCAGTTGAAACTTTTCTGAAGAAGGTCGTTGAGGTGTGAAGTGTGGCAGCATTTTGATGGTGTGGTTCTCATGTCCACTTGCAAACGTAAGTTCGGTCACAAGTTTTCATTCAAGAACTTATATTTGCGCATCTTGACAGGACAGCTTTATTCTGAGATTAGCATGAGTGTTGCATAAGACTTCTACTGGTCAGGCAAAGTGCCCCTTCTGTGCACTTCCATTTCTCTGTGTCTTGATTCTTGCTTGAGTTCCCTGCACACTTTCTAGCTTCTCTTGATCTCTCAGTGGGTTTTGAGAAGAATGATTATGCCCAGTAAAGGGAGGGTATATGCACTTGGTAAGGAAGCAGTGGGAGCAAAGGTCGGAAAAATTTGGCTTGCGATGAGAGGATAGCCTCCAGATGGTGAAATCTTTAGCATCACAATGCATCTGCTCTATTGCCAAGTCACATCAGAAGCTGTGTCTCTTTTCAAATATCCATTCGTTCACTTAGGAGAGTCGCATTTGGGCGTCCCAAACTTCACATCTGGGCCAACTTACGGTGCTTTGATGTGACTTTCTGCACCATTTTGAAAGAGAAGTGCTGCGGTGCTTTTGCACGTTGAGAAGTTTCATTGGGTGTCTAACCCCGTTTCGTTGCCTTGCAGTCTCCCCCATGGAATTGTTCCCCCAAGCCATCATCGCCTGCATGGTATTAGCCACGATGACTCACCTCCTCAAAAACGCCGGCCAGCAGACCCCGAGGCTCGTGCAAAAGGAGCCGAAGATGGCCACGGGCATGACTGCTTTCCACCTGCATGTGAGAGCGGCTCTCAGGCTTGCAAGGCTTTCTCTGCACTTGACTGCTTTTATGAAGTGGATCTGAACTGTCCAGATGGCGTCACAGATGGTGTCATGTTGACTGCTTTTGCATCCTCTGAAAGGCAGGGGGCTGTTGCTCCAACGTGGTATGGTTGGGGCTTTCTGTTTCCGGAGCCTATCAGAAAGAAGTGGGGCTTCGGAGGAGTTGGTGCTTACAGTTGGTCGATGTGTGACTTGGTTGGAGAATCATTCACTTCATGTCCTATGCCCCTGGAAGAGCTTGTAAAGCAGGATAATGGGGCACAATTGACCTATTTTTGAAAAGGCTTCTGTGATTTTGGGCATAGAATGAGCTTGACAGAACGTTTGTTTGGCACCGATGCGCTCGCTTGTGAATCTTGAGCGTCTCAGCCAAAAATCACAGACTTTGAAGAAATTACTTGTTACGAACAGTCTCGAGCAACCCAGTGTTATTTGTTGACTCAGAAAGTGCCCCTTTGTAACAATATTCAAAAGTGCCCCATTGCTGCTCCAACTTCAGACGCATTACAAATCGGCTGAAGCAATCTTCTGCCAGTACAGAAATCGTATTCTTCTGTTTCACATTCTCAGTAGGACCACTTGGTTCTGTTTCAGGCTGTTGTTAGAGTGCCCTTGGTCCAAGCAGCACTCTTTAACACGTTGTGCGCCGAAATGAATTCCTTTCTGTTTGCAAGCCACCTTGAATGCTCTTATCCCCTCGTCTTATTCCATGTGCACAGGTGCAAGCAAGACTGCTTTTCAGGTGTCGAATCCAGAACAAGCATCTCACTCTACTCACTTCGAGTCATGTCATAAGCGAGCTTCTGATATCTGGCTCTGTCTATGTACATACAACGCCAGGCTTCTGGATTCTTCTTATCCTTCTCCGTTGCAGCCCATGTCATTGTCTGCATCTCCAGGTGGAAGACTGACAAGTCTTTTAGAATTCTGAAATCTGCTCACTAGCCTTCTATGTGATTCACCCTTGCAGCTGTTCCAAGCCTCCAAACAGTCACATCACACAATCCTGATCATTTTATCCATATCCAGTTCCCCTTTCAACACGGCGCTTCAGGAGCGGCAATTCACTTGCCTCCAAGTAGTTGGAGTTGCACCCCCTCTTCCGTTTTGCTATTTTGTTCTTTCGCTTTATCAGTTCTGTTTCTTTTCCTGCAGCTTGGCATCTCGGGCTTCGCTTGCTCCCTCCGCTACGACTTGGACGAAGTTGGCAGTCAGCTGGACGATTGGGGCCACGTGCAGCGGCCTGAAACTCTCAAGAGTGAGTCTCATGCCAATCATATCCGGTTCAACATTTTGCACCGAACGAGAAATCTCGCCCACAAATCACAGGGTTTGGCCATGGCGTCCTTCTTGGTTGCGGAAAAGGCGGAATGCGACAGCATCCTCAATTCTGAACGGAATCAGTGTTTGAAAGGCACTTACACACGAGCTTTCGTGTCTCCTGTGTGTTAGCGGCAAAGGAAGCTTAAAGAAATTGCTTTTTGCAAAAGCCTTTAGAGAGATTCCTTCAAGATTCACAAGGGGTCAAGATTTTGGTTAGGCGGGCAAAATGTTGGACTGGTCAAAAACGGCATGAGAGGGCCCTTTCTGCAAAGCCCATTATAGTCATCTGAGCATTGGCAGTCAAAGTTTTACGGTCCTTTGGGCATTTGCAGTCAGGTGTGTTTTGGCTCCTTAGCGAGAGTTGAGACAGTCACTCTCAGCAGAGCGAATCTTCCGGTCTCTCAGGGTTTTGGTCGTGTGCTTGGCATTCTCTGATCTGTTGGTGTGTCCATAAGGATAACGTCACAGCAACAGTGCTCCTCCTTTTTGACTGATGACCCCTGTGCTTTCTTGCGAAGGGGAAAAGCAGGACTGGGATTATAAAACAGGGTTGCATCTGAGCAAGAGGAAGGAGGCAAGCAGTCGGGAGGGAAGAGAGCAAAGAGTTGTGCAATTTCACTTAGGAGTCAAGAGCGAGAGCATGGTGGCTCCACAATCAGGACGGTGAAGTGAAGGGAGACGAGGACAGCCAACTCGTATGCCGGGAGAGACTGACAGTCGCTTTGCGTTCGTGTGCAGCGATCGCGCGTGTCCTGATGAGGCACTTGGAGCACATTGTGTATGCGGGCAACCAAGTCATGCCCTCCAAGCATCCGTTTGCGTACCAGACTTTCATCAACAACTGGGAGCATGTGAGGGCCAAAGCGTCTCCTTTTTTACCCCCGTTTCCGTCTTCGTTTCCATCCTCGTATCTCTCCCTTTTCAATTTATGCAACGAGCTCTATCTCAGTGCGTTGAACGTGAATTGCAAGAGTGGCAACGCATCTAGGTGCACGGTTGAGGTGCATTTATCACGCGCTGGCATGTCAGTCGCATGTTCTCTTCCAGATATTCACTTTTGTGTCCTTATAGAAGAGGTCTGGTTATGTCCAGGAGCATTGCAATGGCAGCACAAGAAGGGTCTGGCAGAGTACTGATGTAAACGTAGGCACAAATCAGCGGCGTTCTTGGTCAGTATGAAGACTACTTGTCCTGTCATTTTACTCTTGTTGCAAAGAACAAAGTTTCGTGAAACCTAGCGTCGATGAATGCAACGAGCCGGCCGAGTAGAGCGGTAACCAGAGGCGGCACAATCACACGGTCTCTCCGGCTTGCAGGCGGATGCATCGCACATTCGGCTGGCGCCCACGAAAGAGATGCTGCAGAACGTCGGCAAGGACTACGGGCGCAAAGTTGAGGAGCAGAAGAGGATGTTGATTGACAGCTACAAGGCAGGCTACACCGTGGTAAGGTGCCAGAAAATTGGTCAACTGTTGATGCAAGGCTTTCTCGAAAAAGACTTTTTGCAATTCTGTCATTTGGTAGCCTCATTATTGCGCCAAAGCAGCGCTTCCGGGTTCACTGAGACGTTCAGTTTCCGGAGTTTTTCAAAGGGCGGACTTCCTTCTGCTTTTCCGGAGAGTCGGTCGTACTTGCAAGCGTCTCGTTCCAGGGCCGGCTCTCCTTGCTCTCCCGACGTTTAGACTGGTGCGCCTGATTTGACACGAGCGCGCGCATACCATATGGCCCTAGTAATATAGAGTCGGGGAATCAGGTCTCGGGTCTACCCGTTCGCATTTGTCCGAAGTGGGGTGCACGAGGCTTTCGTTTTCAACTTTGATGAGAAAGTATACTCTCAGAAGTTTCTGAAACAAAGGATCTCACAGGTCGCCAGTTGAAGCTGTTCAACCAGCGGACTCTCACAGAGGGTTTTGTTGCTAACCAGGCTATGACCAGACTTGAGTCTCAGTTTATTTGGATCATTGGACAATTAATCGGGCTTCAACCTTGTTTCGAATCTAAGGCCAAAAACCACTGTGTTTGCGTGCAGGTGACGCTCTCCGGTGCAGTGCGGGGACGACTGTCTTTGCCGCAGGTGAACAACTCGCTGAACTTGCACGACCTTCTTGCGACCCTGGAGGTCCTCGACCCCGCGAATGTAAAGGTAAGCACAGCACACAAATCAGGGACATTCTGGCTGACGCCTCGTGAACGTACTTTCCTTGTGCGGAGGTGTTGTTGCACTCGTTAAGCAAAGTGTGAATCATGTTCGATACAGGGTTAGAGTTTATAAGGATCTGGGTGTTGGACCGTTAGGGCGTCCCACGTGGCGTTCGGATGCTGACGGGCTGTAACGGTGTCAAATGTAGGAGAATCTGGCGACCTGAACAATTGCGAACAGGCTTTGTTGCTCCCCACGAGCGTGACGAGAAAATGTGCCCTTCACGACCAGTTTGCGAAACTTCTACTGCCAAGCTCTTCTCTCTTTAGGTTCGGGACTGGTCCTGTTCCCCCGCTTCCGGTATCTTCCACTTTTCATCAGTTTAGGTTGTAGAGACCCTTAATGGTGATCTATCCGCACCTGTGAGGCTGTTCCATTGCGCAGGACGTTTTATCAATGTCCTGCCCTTCCTTGGTTTGCAGCAATTGAAGTTGAGCTGGAAGCCTACTTCCGGCGAGACGCTGCCCGAAGAGACGATGCTCACGTACTTCCCCCATATGACGCTTCTTGCGGAGCCCGCGGCAATTGTCTGATTGGCACAAGAAACATCGGTGCAAGAATGGTACACTTCTTTCAGGGTAAGGAATCTAGGACGGGGAACTGAATGGTGAACAGCTCTTTGAGTTGCACAGCTCTTCGAGAGCTGTTTTAATCGCGGGTGGGCAGGTCGAGTCTCAGTCTAGTCGGACTGTGGATTCCTTGTTTTATATAGATAAGCCTGGTGGTTGGATCCTTTATGAGGTTAAGGATCCGTACAAACATACTGCGCTAGGAGAGTTGGGGAGGGGTGAAGTTGTAATGGCAATGTACATTAAGTCTGTTAGGCCGTTTTGATTGGATGTTGTGCAGACTGTGAAGCTTTTGATCACATGTGGCATGCTTTTGTCTAGCCATCAGAATCCGTTGACAGATCGTTGCGACGAGGCGTCCTGCTGTCCCGGTGCATTTGTTTGATACCATTTCTTTTATCCGCCTTGAATTTTGAATGGATGGAGCCTAGCTTATCATGCAACGAGCAATCTTTACTACCATATCTGGCCTTTACATGACGGCAGTTACGCCTTGTCATGGTACCGCCTACGCGCAACCTTGACAAAATCACTTTCATTATCATATACCCAAATTAATCTGCATGTTAACTTACCTGGCTCAAACCGTCTTGTAATGATAATTCCTTAAACATAGCGATCCTATATCCCTTCGTTGAATGCGCGCCTAGCTGCAAGTAGGCCTAGTGCACAGGTACTTGTGATGTGGCACATGCAATAAGTCAACGATGAAATTTGTGAAACTTTTGCATCATGCATGCTGTGCTATACATATGTACATGCTAAGGTTCCGTTCTCACGGCCACTGTTTACGTAACCAAAAATGTTACCGGGCAAATAAGTGCATGTACGTTGATCCAGCAATCATCTCTGTGTCAGCGGCAATTCGCAGCTTGACATGCGGCTTTACATAAACGCGTAGGAAATACTAGTACCGTTAAGAATAAAATCTTGGTTTCTTACTCAAAACGGCCATCATATTCAAACCCTTCGTACACCATCTTGCTCGAAGTGCCCGGTATGCAGGCTCATGGTGGGGGGAATTGCCTCTGATATGCAAGTCGGGAATACGCAATCTGCGCATGGGGATGCTGTAGCAAGCCGCTATTCCAGCCTTTTGTGAAAAAGCTCTAGAAGCTTCGTCAATTCAAATATTTAGGGACACATGTTCAATTATTTTCGATGAGGAGCGTGGAAAAGGCAAAATCGGTCTGTTCGCCTCGACACAGTACTGTTAGGGTACTCGAGCCAAACACAAATCTCAACACAAAGACCATCAGCGGATAGCAAGACGGGAGCATGTCATGCGACCAACTCAGCCGGCATGCTTATGTCGCATTTTTGTACCTGCAAAAACCAGCAAAGAGGGTAGTCGTCAGTCGTCAGAGGTAACGTCATTGATGTCAGGGAATGATTCTGTTCTTTCGATCTTTCAGAAGGAAAGACAGATTCAGATGTTTCAGAGGCCCACCGAGATTGAGAAAGCAGGAAAGCAGATCCCGTGTCCACAGTGCATGTGAACTTCCACTATCTCACAATGAAGGTGCGGTAAGGCTGGACACTTTGTGCTTGCTCAGGAAGTCATGCTTGGTGTGAGGGTTGCGGTGAGGACATAACGACAAGAACCGAAAACGAAAGGGTGAAAGTGAGGACTCTGCTTGAAGGGATGGGAGAATATCGAGGACGCATCACAGACAAACGGAACCCAAAAAGGGACGGGTCCTTACTCTAGTTGGCAGAACTTTCCGCATTTACTTCTCTGCTTCGCAAAACTCGCCGCCCAAGTCGTCGCACGCCTCATCTTGGAAGACACTGCAGGGAGCATAGCCGACGTTTCACACGGGGCACAGATTGACTCGTCCATTTCCTTTCTCGTCTGTCGTTTCTACCTTATCTTCGGGTGCTGCGATCTGGCCTGGAAAAAACTGAACGGTTCGCAGAGCAGATGCCGAGATGGAATAACTTTCAACGGTGAAGGTTTTGAGATATAGTGACCCAATCTATGCTGAATGGGCAGAGCTTTTCTCCCGCCCTTATGAAGGAACCCTCAATTGTTTCTGAACGCATGTAGAGACTTGACATTCCGAGTAGCCCGGTGTCGAAAAGGAACGGCTCATCCGAATGGTACAACACCCGTCTCCGTTCAACAAATAACCCGTTTGTGGTGATTGCAATAATCAATAACAGCGCACTGTTAGCTGCTGCGTAGACAAATGGAACCGGGCCGGCGTGTTCCTCGACTTGGGACTCTTAACAAGGTTACAATAAACGCAATTGCGAAAGCAGCGCGCAAAAATCTTCCAACGAACGCCGTTCAACCACACCAACCCTATTCAGTCGCAAAACCGGCAACTTGAAGTGGGCCGAGGGCTTTGACGGACAGCATCACCGGCGTCGCTTTTATGACCAAATCAACGTTGAGGACGGCACTGGCCGTCGTGTATTGCAGTGATCTGAGCCGTCCGATTGCCATTGCAAGCGCGCTCGCTACGCCCACTTTAAGCCCCATACGATCGGGATCCAAGCTGGCGAAGATAAACGAAGTGGTAAAAGTTACACACGAAGTACGCCCATGTTTGAAGCCTTGTATGTGGACACGTTTACTTAAAGTTCCACTTGCTTAAAATGCCTGTACAACCGACAAGCATCAGATCCGAAAAACCTTGTGATCTTGCGCGGATCCTCTGTCGCTTTGAGTCCCTTTGTACTTAGGACCCCTGGTCCGGAAAAAAGGAAGACAAGGCTCCAGGCCCATAAACGCCTCATCCGTTTTCCTCAATCAAAGGAATAGAGGCACTAAACTCCGATACCTACGTCTTGTCTCCCTTGTACTCTTGGTACTCGCGGTCGGGTTGCTTCTTGCCGCCAAACAGGTTCAACCCCTTGCCATCCTTCTTCTGCTCCTTGGCCGCCGTTGGCCGCGGCTTCACCTCCTCTCCGAACTCTGCCTCGCATGCCTCGCCGCCCTGCTCGTCGCAAGCCTCCGCCGGGAACACGCTGCAAGGAGGATTCTAGTTGTTTAATACTTGTCGTTGAGAGAATAATAGCATAAGCTCGTTCTGTGCAGATACTGCAAAGAAAAGCCAGATTCAGTGTTATCGGCAAAGGTCAATTTTCAAATGCCGCCTCGCTGCCCTGCTCGTCCCACAGCTCCGCATGAGAACATGCTGCAAGGAGGATTCTAGTCAAATGGGAGGAGGAATCGGTACATTTTCCAGAAAGTACCAAGTTCGTTATCTGGCAAAGAAGTTCATCAAGCATGAAGATCATCAGCAAAGCAAAACTGCCTGCCGCCAAGGGGACCCTGCAATCTTTAAACGAATCAAGAAAGGGTCTGGATTTCATCGCACACATTATACTCAGCAGAAAGTATGATGAAGTATGCATTTGGGGGTGGGTGGTCTGAATGTAATGACATCAAGCTCACGTAGATATGCCAATCAGATCATTCTTAACAGTATTTTGCAACTGATGTTCTCAATGCTTTCAGCATCAGAAAGTGTCCCACAGTAAGCTTGTGAAAGTTCAGTCAAGCTCCAGCATTGCCAAGACCCTGCACCATGTAAACCTTCAATCTTCTGACCACTCTTGAACCTATTAGCACAGTTAATTCGCACCTCCTTGCCTCAAATTGAGTTGCGCGTTGAGACCACATAGAAGTTGACTGCTTTGGAAATGAGATGCGGATCAAAGCGAAACCTGTGACATTATGTACGCTGAGGGAACACCTGCTGAAGTTCAGAAGAGTTCAGGGAGGGTGTGACCTTGCAGTACACTGTTCAACTAAAACTGCTGCGAGGAGACGTTGATGCCAAAACACTATTTAATACGTACATTTCTATCCATTTTATAGCTCAGCAACGTTAATCAGAGAGACAGAGACAAGCGATCTGAACCCTGATCACGTAGCGCTCCAGGAAAGTGTCAATTGCAGACATCTGGTCAGACACACATCGATAGGGCACCAGTCAGACAGGAGCGACAATCGAATGGTGCCTTTTGATTGCACCTTGATGAGAATCAGGTGGCAAAATCCACAAAAGCAGGGGGCCTCTTTGCGTCAGGAGGACAGCAAGTACAATGCCAAAATATGGAATGCTGGCATTTATCAAGTGTAGATCGATGGTGTAATGTTGAGAAGAGCTGGCACTGCTCTGATTTGTTGATAGATGCTTTGAGAGGACTGCTATTGTTCGAAGACAAAAGTGAACATCCAATCATGCCTTGACATAGCCTTGAAAACAAAGCGCCATACAATCGGGCCGTTGTAGGACAGCCATACAAGAAAACTCCAATAGGTTGCAGGAACGTCTTTTGCCAGGGAAGAACATTGTCAAGGTAAAAACAAGGCAGCGTGCAAATGGTTTTGCGAAGACCTTGCACCCGCATGTAAGTAACACTACAAGACCCACATTGCTGGCTGTAAGACTGAGCTATCCAACACATACGATACGGAACCAGAACATTGAAGACACTGCGGAAGATGTGTCAATTCGAATGCTTGTGATCAACTTGAGGCGCACATTGGCGCCACCGATTCATGCGGCTGATAATGTTCACCTTTCTTGAGGCCCGAAGCCCTTGGCGACAAGTATCGAATAAGTTTTTCTCTGTTGAGTTCCAATTTCTCAGAACCAAAAGAAGCAGTCACAAAAGTGCATACTTCAGTTTGTTGGTTGCAAATGTGCTAGAATGCATGCAACAACTCTACCAATCACCTTTCTATGACACATTCACCAGCCAACGAGTCTGCTTGTGAAAAGTATGGCAATAGAGACCAGCGCACTTACGACTTTTTCGGGTTGTATCCCTGGTACAACCGCGGCGCCTCCTCCTTCTTCGCCATTGGCACCACAACCCGGCTTCTCTGTCTTCTGCCCGCACTCAAGCTTGGGCATGCAAAGACTGTGGGATTGCCGGAGAAACACATTCTGCTTTCAATGCATGCGGCGAACGAGGTCACCGGTGCGCTCAGGGCGCTGCATGTCGCCACAGACTGCATGGTGGCGAGAGAAGAAGAAAACTGTAATTTAGGGTGCTCAGTGCAACAGGGTTGTGACGCACTTCGCCAATGGAATACCTACCTACGTAGCGCCCTGTTGATACGGTTAAAACTTGAAAGGAGGTGGGCGTCGTCTTCAAGTTCAGGAGGAGAGAAGTCAGAATATCAATATTAGCAAAAGGCTGACAAATCCATGCAATGTACGTAGGGTCCTGCAAGATATTCCACTGCACCTGACGTCATAAGCTTTGCGAAGCCGCGCTGACCGTCGGATGGGCAACGCGCACATGCTTGCGCCCTGGATGTGCTATCCACTTTTCGCTTGGCTTTGAATGATGACGTCAGGCCTCCCAAAGGTACTACACAGGTAGCCTATACTATTATGAGCCTGAGCACATCCTGATCACATCCTTTGACTTGTTGATAGCTTGAGACTACCAAGCGCTAGAAAACGTTGGAATATGGTTGTGCTTACTGCAGCGTTGCCGTCAACGCAAAGCCCGTTTGTTGGTTTCACAAGTCATTCGCATTGTACAAGAGGTGGTTTTGGGGTTCTGGATCGAATCAGTTCTTTGCCACCCAGGCCAACTTCACTCTTCTCTAGAAAGAGCACTTCTCTGCGGGCAAGATGGGGCCAGTCTCCTAATGGAAGAACAACAGAAAGTGCGGCGTTGTTCTGTCTTCCAGTGTTTAGCAACATTCGCAATCAGATGTTATGTATAAAGCAGGGACGAGCTATTCGCCCATTAGAAGCCACTGTTTCAAGTGACGGAAGGCGCCACCAGCTTAAAAGGCCGATGCTCAAAGCTACGATCAGCTTGCAGGAAAGCGGTCCTCTGGAAAGTCAACGTGAAGGTAAATTCTGGGCCCTTCTTCGCTGAGCCCTCTGCATATCTACCCCTTTTGAAAAGAAGCTCGCCAAAAGAATGCTGACAACCTTCTGAAAGTTTGGATTGAATGCTTGCTGCGGATAGTTGAGAGTGCTGGGGGGAAGGAAAGTACGTCTTTCAATATGCAGTCTGGCAGCTGTTCTGGTGGAGGCGTCAGTCAATAACCAGCCCGATGCGGGGTCTCCCAAACAATAGCTATGCCAAACGATGTAATACTTTTTCCGTCATACTTTTTACGTCTGGTAAGCTGTAACATGGGTGATGCTTTCATCAGATAGTTGAGCATTTCACGACCCTCAGAAGATTGTAAGTCAAACGATGAGCACCCACTTCTGGCGTGGGGACAATTTCACTGAGTTGATGTCCCGCCCTGCAGAAATGATCCAGAAGATTGACCACCACCTCTCGGACCGACACATCGACCTCGACCCAGCGGGCTACTTTCTGATCCGGGTCGACCGAACCACAAATGAGATTGTCGCCACTCACTTTCGAAATACAATAAATGAACGGGGCCTAGCGTGCGATCCTGAGACGGGGGAAGTCATACCTTGCGACGGAAGCTATCGACCACAAGCCCATCGGATATACCGGTGAGCTTGGATCAAGGAACGTGTCTTTCACACTCTCCTCCTTTGTCTCTAGAACATATTGAGTTGACGTACACAGAAAAGGGGGTTGTAGAATAAACATGCGAAGCTGCAGCTTGCTGCTCTAGATCGTTTTACAGAAGTATGAACAAAAATCACTTCTGGCAGATTCATTTATGGCATGGCACTCGTGTTCTATGCTTGTCACGATTTCAACGTCACTTTTGAAACAGGCTTCGATTTGTTTTCCATTTGCATACAGCTAAGTGTTCCATTTGCATACAGCTAAGTGACGTCTGTGCATCTCTCATGAAGCAAACGGGCAAAGGAATGGCAAGGATAATTCAAGGTCATGGTTTTCCAAGTCGGAAGCCTCTAAACGACGTGTTCATAAACACGTTTGCACCAAGTGTGACTCTGATTGAATCTCAATTCCAAACTCTCTGCAGCGGACGGACGGCAAAAGAGTTGAGTGTCAAGATCATTGAAGAGCCGGAATCAAACAAAAGACCTTTGACTATGCTCGACCATGCTAACTACCTAGGACGGGAGTTTCAGAAAGCAGAGTTTGCACTACTCTCAGGGCAGGACTACATACAAGATTGAAAAATGGTCCTTGGGTGTTTGGACGGTTGCGACCAATGCTCTTCAACTATGGGTACAGGGATTGCGCATCTTACTGAGTTCTGATGTCTTGGTTTAAGACGACTCTGTCGTAAATTGCTCAAACCAGCAGAGCCGTCCTTGTGATAATATAGCATCTTGCGTGAAAGACGCCTGGACCGGTGCCGGTCCAGGCGGAAAGTCCTGTGTCAACAGCTAGAAAAAAGCTTAACTGAGTGTTAACAAAAGGTATACATTTCATATCAAGCCGTTACCTGCTTCGATCAAGTAAAGCTAGCATGCAGGCCCGCAGCTTTGAAAATGGTCCAATCGGCGTGTAGAAGGATCAATGTAATCAGGTTTTCGTTTGAAGCTTAATACAACTGGATCCATTTGTTCAATGATTCGTATATATACCGTACACTTCATGGTCGAACTTACGTTTGTAATGATGCCGGTTGCCTCATGGGCAGCCTGGCCCAGACTCAGATTATCATACATATAATCATCGTTCATTGAAGGTTGGATCTACAAGCTGGCAACCAAAGCTCTTAGTCTCCCACTGAGCCGACAGTCATCTACGCTTTTCGCCGCGCACCTAGCCTGCTAGTAGGCCGCCGGCTCATGATGTGTCCTTAGCCTGAGCTCGTGGAACAGTCACTAGGGCTCTGTGTCATGCCGTATGGCTGCAGGGCCGTATTGTATCTTGTGGTTTGTGGTTAGTCGCTAGTTAGCGGCCGGTTTACAGTAACTAAGTAGTTATTTGTGCCCGGAGTCGGATTTCTGCCCACTCTAGTTGCTAGTCCGACTTTTGAAACACCTTGAACACCAAGGTTGCTAATGCAACCTTTTGTAGGTCTTCCTTCTTGAGAGAGTAGCGCCTTGAGGCGCCTTCCTAGCATGCAAGTCCCTTCAAAGCAACCCTCTTTCACATGGTAGCCGGAGCAATGGGTTCCTTGAGTGGCGAGTGGCCGCTCTCGAATTTGGAGCATAATTCCTACCTCCGGTACAGTGTAGCTAGCTCCGGTGCAGTGTAGCCAGCTCCGGTGCATGTTTAGCTAGCTCCGGTGTGTGTGTAGCTAGCTCCGGTGCGTGTTTAGCTAGCTCCGGTGATGGCTACCGGACCTTGCATGATAGGCATAGGATTGTCTCGATTTGCTTTTGTGTGTGTAGCGCTCGAGAGGTTACGGCGGCGACCTCATAGCGCACGGCATCTGCGCGTGTTACAGATCTCCATCTTGCGTTGGAGTCAGTGTCCACAAGCCATGAAGCCATTGAAGCCATGAAGCCATTGAAGCCATGTCGGACGATCTGCCGCCCCATGAACCGTCAAGCTGGCCGGCATGCAAGGTGCACTGCTGTGCCCGGCGGCCGCCTAGGCACACAGCATTAATTCAGTTTGAAAAGTTTGCAGCTTCGCAAATGCCCGTTCGCATAACCACCGCATGTGATTGACAATCTGGATACAATCAGAGTACTGCCAGCCAACCCAGGCGGCCCTGTAAACGGCCGAAAAGCCCTTCAATTAGACTGTGACAAGCTTCAAGCATGTCATGGGGATGCCAAATTCCGACTTAACAAGGATCAATGTTGTGCCATTACAAGGCCATATCAAAACTACCTGATATGTTGCGAGCATATCAAAACTGCTCGAGCCCCCGATATAATTTTGAAGGCCATTCGTGAGGCATAGTGATTGTCTTAAAGCCGGTTCTGTGCGCTATCCAAAATTCTCCGGCCATGCTACACCCTAAAGCAAGTCAAAGTCGTATTATCCGCCTGGACTGTAGACCTATCGTCAAGAAAAACTCATCTTCACTGTGATCGCCCATCGTAATGCCATATTTCTGCATACATAGCTCTATGTTACAGGTTCACGACCGTGACGCACAAGGGCTCGCCGCTGCCGAGCCCACCGGTCACTTTGCCAACTCCGCACCGAGTCTCTGCAACCGGGCCTTCGCTTCCGTCACAAGTGACGTCACCAGCACCTCGGCCGGTTCTATCTTGCGCACCAGCCCGACCCCCGCCCCGCAGTACACCGCAGAGACGTCACGGTCGAAGTCGCTCCGCTTGAGGACTTCGATGGCCTCGGCTTTCACTGTCTCTCTTTCTGCCGGGGGAGTGCCGGCCAATCGGGCCCCGTAGTCGGCGATGAACTTGTTTTGAAGGAGGCGGCCGTTCACTTCCTGTGTAAGAAGTGATGGACGATTCTTGAGCTTGATCGGTGGTGCTTTTCGTTTCTCGGCTCGGAATGTCTGTGGCTTTCTTTGCCGCTCGTCCCAATGTCTTTTGCTTCCGTGCAGCGCGTATTTCTGTTTCTTTTCTTCGTTTCATTTGGTTGGATATTGACGGCACGGACTGCGAGAACTCGCTAGACAGCAAATGCCTCCTGAACGGAACCCGACTCATTGCAAACGGGTCGAAGGACCCATGCTGACGTAAGCGTCCGCCATCTTGTTTCGCCTTTAAGCCAGCTTTGGCTTCTTTGTGCTTCGGAAAAAGAAAGCGAGGAGCGCCTCTCATGTAAAAGATTGACAAGGAAGATACTCGGAAGTGAATGGCACATAACAGCTTTCGGAACGAACTGGAACAGCAGAGAACCTGACTTTATCTGCTATACAATCACAGACTGGTATGCAGAACCAAAATCTGGATAGCCGAACTGGAAGTCCGAGGGGTTCCTCGTGACAAAGCGAAGACCGTACAATTGCACCCCAAAACCAACAAATCAAAACGTGCAACCTTAAGTCCCGAATGAGATAAAGAAGAGCCGTACATACTTGTGGCCATGGCAGCGAACTCAGGTCGTCGTACAGCCGTGTCCGCACCGTCGCTGGCGTTTCGGACGCGTCCGAACCCGCGGCCGCGACGGCCTCCTTCTCCTCAGCGCGTGATCCACATTCGGGGGTGGCCAGGAGCCGCGTGCCCAGCACTACGCCGTCGCCCCCCAGAGCGAGGACGGCCGCTATCTGCCAGTGAGGATAGCGGAGGTTAAAGGAAAAAGGAGAGAGCGGAAACGGAAACGTCAGATTCAGGGCGGGTCAAAGCGGTGGAAGTGGTTCGGAGATCGGCGTGAGCAGATGTGTTTCACCCATAGAACCAGGAACTGGATGCAGTAGGTGCTAGAATGCTCGGCTTTGCAAGGACCTTTCAAAGAAGTAATCCGATAGGATTCTTTTCAAGTGACCAGGATGCGAAGGCGTTGAAGTTTACAGACGGATCTAAATTTTCTCTCAAAGTGAAACGCAAACCAGCCGGGTTTGCAACCACGCACACTCAAAGGTCTTGCAGTGTTCTGCGGTCAACTGCCAGCTGTCTGCAACGGCTGCAGCGATCGAGTTGAGCATTGAAAGCAATCTAGCCTCTTCACACCGCGACCAGAAGCCTCTCGGGGGACGAAAATTTTGTCGAGCTTACCTGTCGGGCATCTTGGCCCCCTTTCTATAGTATTGAAACCGATATGGGCGGTCGTTCGGCCTTTTTACACTGCCCAATCGCCTTGACCATATTGGACGGTGTCACTTGTCGGCTGTCCGTAGTGACCAGCACGCAAATGGTCGGGCCTTTCAACACAAAGGGCAGAAAACCTGTCCAGATGTGAATAGGCTCACCTGTCGACTGTCGGTCACGCCGCCAGCCGCGACGACCGGGACGGGGGGCCGTCCGGCCTTTTCACACTGCTCCCGGACGAAGTCCACAGCCTCGGGAACGAAGCAGAAGGTGGTAGCGTGACTGGCGCCATGGCCCCCCGACTCGTAACTCTGCGCAGACAATTCAACAGAAGTAGTACTCAAGTTTTTGCATTCCAAATACAAGAGTCCTTTTGTGGGCAGATGAGTCAAAACAAATATCCGGGAATGGCGACGCCCACAGTGAAATCGAGACGTCGCCGGCGAACTTCGGGTCCGTGTTTGAAGTTGGCGGAGACAATGAGCAAACGGCATCGTACGACCGGAAGGGCTGAATCTGGGGTTGCTGCCATCGATGAACGGTTCCGAGATCCTGATGCCCACAAGGCTTCCCAGATGATTGACTGCACAGAGGACTCGATGCTTGAAGTGTATGTCCAAGTGTTACAGATACCATTGGTTTTCTCAGAGGCAAATGATCAACCTTTCGGGTTCTAAGGATGAGAGATCTATATTGATAGCAGGAGATACGAGATGACCCTGAATGCAGTAGAGATGAGACGCCTCGAACGGATCAGTTGTCCTGAAGTCGGACGGGTCCACGTGCAAACCTGAGAAGTCTCGAGGTCTTAGGGAGTGCGAATGAGCCCAAAGAGACGCCGTTTGGATGTGGATGTATTCGACAAGCAGAGAACAAGGAGACTCAAAATTTGATATCAAAGGCAGGACTTGTTTCTTTACTGATGAGTCAAAGACCAATTCAATGGAAAGCTTGAGTTCACCTCAAGTCGGCTCTCATTCAATTGAGGCACTGAAGTCGATACTTCCTAAGCGCAGTGTTCGTGTCTCATCTGGCAACGGAGGGGCGCACCTGAGCTACGATGACGTCAGCGCCGAGTGGCAACACGTCACCAATCTGCTCCAGCGTTTGCACCTGACAGATCAGCTTGATGCCTGCGGCTTTGATAGGGGGCGCCAGCTCCTTGAATGGACCGAAGGAGAGCCAGATGGCACGGGGCTGGCAGTCGATGGCAGCCTGGATTTAGAGCATCACAGAACACGAGAGTCGGTTGCTGATGTCGCGAAGGCGACCTGAATATTTTGAAACGCTCCGGGTGTGTTTTGATAAGAAGGGTCCTTGAATGAGTCCAGCCTGTTTGAAGAATGGTTCATTAACAAAGACATTTGGCAAACCAGTTTGGTTGAAGCCAATAGATAAGTGTCTAAACGAAGGTTTGCGAGTCCAAAGTCCTGGGGAGGGGCCAGTGACGAACACCGGACCAAACAATCTCGTTCAAACATTTACAGCGAGGTCCAGAAGAAGGTTCGCCATTCAATTTTCTCACAGGGACGCTTTGCTGCAGGGTTTGTGCAGACGAACAAAACGAAGCACTTCAAACGCAAGAACCTGACCTGCAAAAGCTCCGGGCCGGTGAATGCATTGATTAGCCCCAGCCCGATGCCAGCATGTTGCGGGTCTGCGCCAGCTCCGAGCAACGCTTGCGCTTGAACAAACTCCTCAGTCAGTTGCACCGGAGTGCAGGCGGCCGCCCCGATGAGACCCAAGCCCCCGGCCCTGGCGACAGCCGCCGCTAGTTCTGCTCCTGCGACTGGCTCTGAAAGTTGGAAGCAGATGACGTGTTAATGTAGGAATACAGAAAAACGGCCGCCACTAGTTCTGCTCCGGCAGCTGGCTCTGATTGTTGGAAGCAGATGACGTATCAGAAGAGGAGACAGACCTTGAAGTAAACATAACCCCAGGAAATCAACTAAGCAAAGAACGTGTGTGGCGTCTAAAAGCCAAGATCAATGCAGGAATTTGCGGGGGCCTTGGCCTTGTGATAAGCCACTGGTAGGAGTGGCATGTTGAACGACCTACTGTGATATTGGAAGCTGACCTTGAAAAGTGTCCTTAAAACGGATTTTTATTTGGTTCCTCTTAGTATATGCTTCCAAATCAGTATAGAGCCTGATAGGCTGGTCAAAGCACTTGTGGTCTGCAAATCAGGTTAGATAGGCTCTTGAGTGGTGACCATGGCCATTGACCAATCTTCGCAGTGCCTTCAGTTAGCCATAGCAGTGTCCCTAAACCTTCTAAGATTCAGACAAGTCACCAAGGTCCGCGTGTAGAGCTTTTTATGTGGAAATGTGCAAGGAGCTTTGAAGTCCTTAAAATTCCCTTAACTTAATGTGTAGGTGCTCTCAAGGTGGGAAGGGAATTTAATGTGTAGGTGCTCTCAAGGTGGGGCAAAGGGCACTCACTAGGCCTCCCAGCCATCGGTGCATTGATGACCGGCACTGCTATGCCCAACGTCTGAGTCAACAGAGTCTGTAGGGCGACAGAGGCACTCATCCTCTTGGGGCAAGTTTTGGGGGGCTAGAGCCTCTCACAAGGCACCAGCCTGCAGAGGTTTGAAGAAGGAAGTAAGAAGCTTGCCAGCAACAAAGGACCTGAGACTTGTAGTTCCCCAGATGTTGATTATGCTCACAGCGCCGCAATTGCAGTGATCGTCTCATAAGGTCAGCCCCAGTGATCGTAATGCTCCTCTAGGGCAATGAAAGAAGCACAAGGTTTTAGCCTTGTCAGCAACACCAAGTATCCTTGCCTCAAGTTGATTGATCTTGACTGCCAAACACAAAGCTCAAATGACTAATCATGTAACTGAAAGATGTAGTGGTTCAATTACGCAAGAACGCCTTCGTGGCTGCTTACTGGAAGAGTTTAGCCGGTGTAAGGTTGTGCACTGTGTACTGATTCACATGTCAATGCTGGTGTGCTGAACCTCCTCAGCTCATTGAAGGTCTTGATCTGGAGTCAGACACAGCTCTTCAACCGGAATCTTTGTCTGCCAGGACGCCCAAAGAGGCTAAGCTTGTTGTGGATCTGTCGACACTATGATGAAAAGGCTCTCGCTATGCACCGCTTGCGGAACGAAACCTCATGATGCAGCTTGCCGCTACAGAGCTCATGTGAGGGCCCATGCTATGCACAATCAGGCTGGACCAGTTTTTCGAAGCAACAGCAGGAGACGATTTCTAGGATACTTTTCACCACCATTGCTGCGCATAATTGGACGCAGCTGACAAGCTGAGCTGAAGTTTGGAAGCTGTCTAAAGTTGAAAGTCCCGAGCGAGAGCGCTCCCTTTCCAGCGCGTCCAGCCCGGGCCGAGCAGAATAAGAAACAACCCGCCCGGGGAAGCTTGATCGGGGGCCCGGGTGATGGCCCCAGGTGGTGTATTAGGTGGAAAGTCACACCTTCACAATTTGGAGGTGGAACTGAACTGTGCTCAGAACTTCTAGCTTGGCCGGGGTCCCGGGTGACCCCTTTGACCGTGTACTTCAAAGGAGCCACCCGGGCATCAGGAAGCAGCAAGATCTTCTAGAACTTGAAGGTCTTGGCGAAGTTTCCCAGCCTTGCGGAAGATGCGGAGCGCCCGAATTAAAGAGGCGGCCACTTTTGGCAGTGCATGCCAATGCATGGAGGGGAGGACTTCTGAAGGACCATGCACTCGGATGATGCCTAGGAAAGGCGGCAGATCGGGGTTTCGTTCTTGTGGCGGTTGATGCTTCATCGGGAAGCAGCATAGGAACCTTGTGGATCTGCACAAGGAGCGTTAAACAAGGGCACATCAAGCCTGCTTGTTGAAACAATCCCGCTCCTGAAGTTGTTCGTCTAGGGTTTTCTTCAGGTTTTGCCGGGAGTTTCCTGCTTCGGTTTGCTTTCTGCTGATCTCCACCTGCAGGGTAGATTCGAGGGTTAGGGTCAGCCAAAATGGTTAAGGGCGTCAGGGCCCAGGTTTCATAGGGGAGGGTCAGGAAGGAGAGGGTCCAACAAGCAGAGGTAGCGGGTGTCGTTTGGTAAGAGGGCAGGGTTTCTGCCATGGGTACCAGTTCAAGTCGTCACCAGTCCTCTCAGCAGCAGCAGCCCTCTGAACAACAACCACAACGCCCCAACGGGGCATCCCCCCAGGGTCAGGCAAACCCTAATACTGCCCCCCCAAATTCCCCTCCCAGGCACAACCCATACGCGCCTCCACCTGGGCCCCCCCAATTTTTCCCTCAGCCTTACCCTCATCCAAGAGCAGCCGCCCCTTACTACGGTCCTGTTCCATATAACCCGTATAGCCCGTATCCCTATCCCCCTCCAACAAATGGACAGTTCTATACCGGGGGGGGTGCAATCAGACCCCCACCTCAGAGTTACTTGCCCCCCCCTCCCATGCCAGTTGCTGTGCAGGAGCCCCAGCGGACGGCGCCCATCAGGAATGACGTAAACTTAAAGAAACAGTCTCTCAGGCTGGAAAAGGACGAAGCGAACCCTGGGTGTTGGCTTGTTGCGTTTTCGCTGGACGCATCCTTGGCTGGCAGGTGAGGGGATCGCTGATGTCATCATAGTGCCAATAGGAGGACTGGGGTTGATCTGTAGAAAGGTCTGGAGAGGGGAGCTCTCAAGGTTTCTGGTGTTCCTACTCAATTATCCATATATTCTTGGAGGTGTCACTTGCAGAACGAGGAGAAAACCCTGTCCTCTTGAAATCAAAGTTCAGCTTTCTTCACTGATCTGCTTCTAAGTGTCTGGCTGGTTGAGCTGAGAATTTCAAGCTTCGTTTGTTTCTCATCTATATTTTTCCGAGTGGATCTGCTCATACGTTGGGGCAAGCATTGATTGTTTTGCTTCTTCAGTCGTTGGTCAATTCCCTTGCCAATCAGCTCTTGTCAGGATTGAGCTGGATGGAATGTGACAAGTTCTGTAACCAGCTGCTGATTCAGAAACACTGGCTGTTACTGCTGGCTCTCTGCTTAGCATCAGCATGACTTGCAACCAGAAACCCTTTTCAAAAGTGTCTCATAGCTGGAGTAGTATCGATCATTCAGACACGGTGCAGCTACTTGTTTGTCAAAGTCCTCCCACGAAGAACAAGCATTACTGGTGACTTTTATGTGACTTTACGGTCGTGTGAACCAAGTTCTAGTTCACCCCGGGTACATCAACTGTACAGCCTGATTCAAGTTTGACTTGCTCCGTGTCAAAACCACTCAACTAACCCCAGCCCTAGGTTTTGATTTCAAGTCACATGCTTCTCAGGTCAATGTAAGTCACCAAAGTGATCAAGCGCACGCCTCACAGCCACCCCCTGTCTGCCCTGCAGTGCCAGCATCCTCTGGATGGCCAAAGAGGGCGAGTCGTGCAGTCTGACCTCAGTACGATTTAACGTCCCGTCCCCCATCCGCTTTACTTTCAAAAAGGAGCTAGGCCAGAAGTTTGTACAACCCGCAGGACTTGGAATCAAGCTCTCAGATATCACCTCAGAGGAGCTGTCAAAGGAGGGCCCTGGGGGGGTCTACCCGCTTGTCATCAGGTGAGGTTCTGGAGACCAGCTACTCGCATGGTACTCTTGTTGAAGTGCTGCAGTCTGCCAGCTCCGCTGGTTTAACTGGAGTGTGCTTCATTTGAAAGCAAGTGAATGCGTCTTGAGACTGCGGTCTGTTTGTTCAAAGTGCAGAAGGCAGAACCAAAAGCTAGCATTTAGCTGCGTGTTAAGAGGGATTGGTGGTTGCCAGGCTTTTGGCGTTCCTCACAGCTGGGGCTTTGCGCTGCACATCCAGTGGTGCTGTGTGCATATCTTTGTTCGCCGTGATTTAGATGTTTTGTGTTCTCCGTGTTGATTTTGATGCTATCTGGCGCCTCCTCCATTAATCTTATCGTGCATAGAAAGGGATGCAAGTTCACTGAAGGCAGTACGGTCCCCCTATCCTTCATCGCAACTCACTGATCAGTGTCTAAATTGGACAAAGTTTTGTCCGGGATGGCGCATTTCATTCCTGGCTGTATTTCGGAAAGAGCTTCTTTTCATGTTTTTACCTCGGAAAGAGCTATTGTACGAATGCTTTAAGACATGTCAGATACGTGCGTTAATTCGAGCCCGGGCTCGAACGTTGGGAAGCTGTGTCTAAATTCACACGGTTTACTAGACTCGAAAAATCGCCCTGCGTTATTCAGGTTAGAAACAGAGCCAAAGAACCCTCCGCCGGACGCGCCCCCGCCAGACACGACGCCGGGCGCCAAGCTGCCTCGATGGGTGCAGAGTCAGACGACGTATGCGACGATAATCAAGCAGGAAGACGGAGGATACAAGATCAAGGTGCTGCGGCAGAAGGTGAGGGTGATTTAGACATTTGGGTAGTCAGATTGGCCAATTTGCGAGGAAGTAAATGTTGGTCGCCATATCGGGGACCGGATTTGTGCAGCTGATTGGTTCACCTCAAAAGCTGCTAGATTTTCGCATCATCCTTGGTTTCAACCGATGCACTTTCGAGCGGAGAGAGACGAGCGCTGCATCATACTGCACACCACGACGTTGTAGCTCAGGGTAAGAGCACAAGTACAACGAAACGATCACCTAAGTCTGCTCTTCCGTGCAGATCTGGGTGGACGGCGTCAGCTACGAGCTGCAGGAGATCTACGGCATTGAGTCCAACAGCGGGGCCACCTCGGAAACGGACCACGGGAAGGAGTGCGTTGTTTGCCTATCGGAGCCACGGGACACGACCGTCCTGCCGTGCAGGCATATGGTGAGCGGTGTCTGACGTCACTGCTGACCTTTCACTGATAAGCCGGGGTCAAGTTTTGGAGTTCTTCTTTCTTTGTCCAAGCAGTAACTATGGTTCGTCTTCTCGAAATGGAGATTCTGCCGGAGATTTGAGCGGGTTCTTATCAATGGAGACAGGTTGCTTCTCGGGTTTGAGCGGGTTCTTATGTATGGAGACAGGTTGCTTCTCGGGAGTTGAGGGTTCTGATTTTGAAACAAACGAGAGGCTATCTTATAGTAAGGTTCGACTAAGTATTGAAGACAATACTTCCTGGGATTGGGTGTTCGTTTGAGGTTTGCTCCGTTCTTCCGCAGAGGAGATTCGGGCGGGGGTTGCGGGATTTAGTTTGAAACAAACGAGGGGTATCTTTCCAGTAAGGCTCGACAGATGTTCGAGACAGTCCTTTACCGGGATAGGGTGTTTTTTTGGGGTTTGTTCCGTTTTTTGGCAGAAAACACTAAGCTATTTCCGTTACGAGGTGGCGTCAGAAATTTGTAGGCACAGTCCGCCTTTTCAACCAATAAGTTGCTTGAAAAGCGGCTGAGAAGGGTTGCAGCCAACTCTTCCACCTTGCCACTTATATGAAAAAGTTCACCCTTTTGAGTCACCTCCAAACCAGACGCTTACAGTGGTCCGCTCGTTGTGCAGTGCATGTGCGGAGAGTGTGCAAAGGTCTTGCGGTATCAGACGAACCGTTGCCCAGTATGCCGGACCGTAATCGACTCGCTTCTAGAAATCAAGGTCGAAACCAAGTCCCCCGCTCCCAGCCCTGCTCCCAGCCCTCTACCTCAGAAGTAGACCTGGTAGTTTATAGTCGGTCCGATACTTTCCGTCTACAAGCTGCTGCGAATCATAGACAAATAGCGCTATCCCGCTTGCTCATATCTTACTAAGTATTAATACTAAGACTGTTCTAGCTTGTTTCGTGCTTGCAAGCGGGTCACGTGTATAGTAGGCTAAGACAATGATTGACAATATAAGTTTTTGTGTTACCTCGGATAATAGGGTGTCTCGTGCGTATGGGGGCGGGATATGTTCGATCTTGTCAAGGACTGGACGCCATCTAGCTAGCCTGCTACTTGCTGTACAACTAGCTGGGCGTAACTTTGCAAAGCACCTTTGGCAGAGCGACCGCCTCAATTTGAAAAAAGTTTCTGCATTTAGACCGCGCGACAGAGATCTTAAATTTGCTACACTTGTCCAAGCAGCAATCAAATTGATAGATCTACGGGTTGCTTCGATGATCCTTGCACATGAATGTGGCCACATGGCGTTGAACGGCCTCGCGCCAGTGCGGGGTGAAGCAATGTCATGCGCTATGTCAGGTATTACTTCGGGCCTCAGTGGGGAGCGAGGCGTCATATGCATCAGCTGGTCACATTCCAGCCATGGCTGAGCATTGCCGCGGCCCGCCAGGCTGCCCGCACACCTATACACCATGCTGAAATAGAAATTCCTCCGGCGATTGAGACCGTCGCCGGCTGCACTGAGTTCGGCCCCGCTGATTGCCTGCCTATCACAAGTGTGTTCAAGATTGAATCCATCATGCATGCGTGCATGTTGCCAGTTGAGGCTTCAATTGGCCCGCCGGGTCACCCGGATTTCTTGGTGCTTCTTCAACGGTAGCTAGGTACTTCAATAGAGCAATAGCCTAGGTTATAGAGCCGGAAAATGGACAACGTCTTCTCATAAGCACGCTTTATGCAGATTATACAGACTTCATCGAAAATTCCACATATTGCTTCCGCTTATGCACGGCCATTTTGTTAATTTATGCCGAAAATCGGCTCCACGTATCAGACTTTTATGCTGATAACCAACACGGGACCAAGGGTTTTATGGGAGCATGCTGCACATATTATCGGTTTACGCATGTCAACAAAGTATGCATTTCAACATTTCATGCATTCCATATTCTAGCCGGTCGATACTCAAAGACAATAGGTATATCACACACAGGACCCCGGTACGTATCAAGCGAATCTGTCTCGGAGGGCAGGGAATATAGGTTTGATATCGACTTGAAAGTTGCTGCATGTCTTTTAGTAGGTGGTACCCCCCCTTTCATATTCGGGGGTCCCGTTCAGACAGCAGACATCGTAGGGCCTGGACCCTTTCTTCGACCCCTGGTGGTGGGGAGGGGCCCCGCAATAGGGCCATAGCTAGCGCGGCTATGGTACTCCCACCCTGGCGATACCTACGTCGCTAGCGGGCTGACGGTATACGTATGATATTTTGCCCGGAACTTGCTGCAATTTTTTCAGTCCAGCCTGTCCAGAATTTCGACCATAGTCCTACCGGTACATCGATCCCCTCGAATCAGTCTTGAAAGTTGAACTCTGCTTGAAACCGTCTTCGGAATTAAATTCCCCGATCTTTACTTTTGTTCAATGACTCGTGCATCCGACGCTTGTTATAAGGGTTCAAAATGGTAAGCACGCTGGTCCGATCCGTTGAGTTATGCTTGCATACGCGGTTGGAATGGCAGAAACGGTGATATTGACCAGCAAATCCGATATAATGGTTGAAGTGAAATTGACGTGTCCATTTTTCGCTGCCATCCTAGGTGCGTGCTACTAGGTGCTACATCAGCTAGATAGCCGCCTGAAGCCGAGCAGTCATGGAATCTGCTCACTGACCGGTGACCACATCAGGCCGGTTCGATATCGACGGCGAGAATGGCCGCTGGCCAATGACTCGTCACCGACAGCCGTCAGATAAACTTGTCACCGGTATCTTTTTCACTCAGGTCGCGGGCGGCACAGCGCGCTACTGTCTTGATTGGACATCGAGTCAGACTCGTCAACTGATGCTGGCACAGATAGGGTCTCTAACATCATGTTCGCATATCTTTCGCATATGCACGCAGCATTGTGGACGTTGTGATCCACCATTGTTGACATCAGGCTCATTGGTCCACTGGAAGTGAAACTATACTCTACTCTGCTTGTCTGATTGCCAAGATTGAACCAGACTTCTTGCGCATGCAATGCTTATTCGTTTGGCCTGCCTGCAATGTGCTGGAAAAAGAGAGGGGAAGAGACCGAAGGGAACCAGAGGTAGCATTGTGAAGAGTTCACAGAGATCGAGCGCTAGAGGGTGGCTTGCAATCTCCACTGCTTTCAGTGTCCTGTGCTAGAAGAAGGCTACCGCCAGGTGGTGTGGTTTTGGGAAGGGCGACCATTGGCACAAGAAGAGACTCCAAATATAAGGGCAATCACGGCTGGCTGATCAGGGCTTCACCATTAGCGAGCGAATAGTTCTCTGTACATCTTTTGCTCGTTGACTAAAGGGTGCGGTTCGGGCAAGGGGGCCAAAATGAATCACAACATGTTGACGGAGCGGGCGCTCCGGGATGTGTTTTCCACCACTAGTTACATCTCCATAGGCACAAAAGATGCGCCTCTCAATTATGGCGAGCAACACGAAAGTGAGTGTAGCAGGACGCGGTCCCCTATTGATTTGTTCTGATCTGTGGTACTAGAAAGTTTGTAGGAAGACTAATTGAGAATGCAGGGTCGAGGAATGTTTCCCAATGTTTACACCTTCTTGGCAAACATTGGGACTTTTATATGTCACTGACCTTGAAAAAAATAGTATTCCATGTTTCCTCCTATTATGTGTTGTATTGTAACACAGGGTTAAGCCAAAGGGATGCTTCGTGCTGAAACTTCCTATTAAGCATAATAACCTTGTTTGTACCTTGCAAGCTATTTCCTCCAATATTCCTTGCAACACAGAGAGAGGCCTTACAATGGGAATGGAAAGGTGTAAGTCTTTATCTCACATAGCATTGCTTTGCTGCAGATTATCGGTCTTGCTACAAGGGAAAGCAGTTTCTGACACAGCCTCCCAAGGAGGGTAAAACAGTGGACACATACTTCGACAAGAAGCACTTGTGGATAGCAGATGTAAGGCTTCTTTCTTTCTAGTCTGCTTGCTCAGAAACAACCAGAACTCAAGCCGGCTTCTACTTGATAAATGCAATCGACTTTGTTTTTTCGTTTACCAAAAGTCCGGCACAGCATGAGTTGATCACTGTTGTCTCCTTCCTTTCGAGTTGATGTTTTCAGCCCGATGCTTTGTCCTGGGAAGCCTCAGAGGCAAGGGTACTTATTGTACTCAGTCAGGCTGCAGCACTCAACTGAAACGGCGCTCTTGAAACGGCTTTATTCAATTGACCCAAGCACCGGGTTGAACAGCTGAGGATCAACTTTCGCATATACATTGAAATGTCAGCATCCGGATTGTCCGATCATCGATCAAGCGTCAATAGAGGCTCCTTATCCTCGACCATGGAATCTGCTCTTGACATACTATCTCAGTTCAACGTTAGCTGCTTGGCTGAGGGCCCTATCCTCTCCTTGAGGCTAACGCCTAGTCATTGAGCCCTAGTCTCATTCCTCCAGGGGGCCAAGTACGAGGACAAGATCACATACCGTGGACAGGAAAAGAAGGTGGGGTTCTGGACAGGGGACTTTATGAAGCGCGACGAGTTCACGAGCACCATCCGTGTGGAGCAGTACCGGACACAGCTGCGGGTAAGGCTGAGTAACGAGATCTCGTTTCCTGGAAAAGGGAGCGGAGAGAGCAGTTCGATCTACCAGGACGTACAGACAAGAATGAGGCTTCCTTCGATGAGCTTTTAGATGAAGTGTCCCGGTATAATGAAATAGAGAAGCTGAGATCGTATGGACGACAATAACAAGAAGCGCAAGGCTCAGAGGGTCAAAGGAAAGCAGCAGCATTAGACGCTTTTTGGAGCTCCACCGTTATTCAAATGGTCAAATGACTTGAGAAAGAAAACAAGCCAGAGCAGCTGCAATTCAGTAGTCAGAAGGTGACTGAGCTAACGTTTTATGAAGAGAGTGAAACCAGGAGCCCTGGAACATCAGAACGTCACTGCGTTTGGGATGGCTCATTTTTGAAATGCTCAGGCGCCGAAGCTGAAACTCACACTCTAAAGTCGAACCGTTTAGCTTACGCATCTCAATAAGGTCGACAAAAATCTGTAGGCACAGCAATACGTGAATGGGTGCGCAAAATGGGACAGCTTTAATCCGAAGTCAATGTCCGTGAGCTGCGACTGAAAATATCTCACCAGCTCCTTGGGAAAGGCACTCGAAGGTTTCGTCACATTGCCCTTCAGCGGTTTGAGTATAGATGACTTCGTTACGTCAGCTTCAGATGCTAGATCATATTTCGAAAGCAGACCAACACCAAACCAGTTACTCGAGATTCGAGCCTCGTATGCTGAGTCTGACCCGTCCAGTCACTCTGTCGCCGAGCCACCAATACGACTCCACGTGGCAGAAAGCTGACGCTCGCTTCTGCCACGTGGCGCGCAGCAAGAGATCAAGGTGACGAAGAAGGCGCTGGAGAACCTCCAGGGGACGGAGGCGCACGCGCGGCTGCAGGCGCTGCAGAGCGAGCTTGCGAGCACCTACGGCAAGGAAGAGAAGAGCAGGGTACGTGGCCATATGCTCCCATTGCTTCAATTGTTTTCTTGCCGAACAAAGAACCCGCGAGCAAGGATGAGAAGAGCAGAGTAGAGTACGTGGGCCACTGGACTCTATCTTTGGTTGCCGTGTAATCAGTAAGGTCTACATGTTTGAAGTGGCATTCCTCAAACGGAAAGATCAGTAGACCAGTTTCTTGGTGATTTCAGCGCGAAGCACGCCTTAAGACTCGCAAATCTGCAGACAGAAACGGCCGGTCTCAGTTTTTCTTTGTGTCGGTCTCCCACCGAAGTTTCCAAGAGCCGCTTCAGGCATTGTGTCAGTTCCTCAAAACCCCGGCCCTAAACGCTCTGTCGCGGCCGCGCGCGCAGTTCGAGGGGCCAGAGTACCTGTTCGACGTCGGGCGGGAGGCGGTGACGGAGGCCTGTACCAAATGCCACCGGGACACTTTCTACTGCCCGCACAGAGCGGCGTACTGTAACAACAACACGGAAATTGAGAAGGTGAGGAAAGAATTGAGAATCATGTTGCAGCTTTTTGCGTCGGACCTGCCAACCAATCTCTCATCTGCGTAATTCACAGAGCTTCCTGAGCAACGATTTTTCTGTTGGAAAAAATAAGCCGTCTGCATCTTTGATAAGAAAGATCCGGGTCTGAAGTCGCATCTCATCACTCCATGTTCTGGCCCCTTCGTTTGAGAAGATAAGATGCGGAACTATCTTGAAAAAGCACAAGGCTACAGTCTCCACTTGAGGATGTAAACAGACGTTTGACACTGCTGTCTGTTGTAGCTTTCAATGCGCTTTCAATGCAGCCGTACGGGCAGCGAACCTCTGCTGTCATCTCAAGGTTGCCAATTGAATTCGCGCCGCTGACGCGACTCTCATGTCATCTTTGCAGCGGACGGGTGGCTATAGAACGGCATATGCAGACATCGGCCTTACGGCCAAGACGCAGAACTACGCCAAGCCGGAGTATGCGCGGAAGCCGGTCATCCGAGAGACGCTTTTCCGAAAGACAAATGTCTTCTTTGAGCCAAAAGAGAACTAGAAGAGCAGATGCTTTAATTGCCGCCAGGTTTTTGGGTCAACGACTACAAGGGACTGCATAGATAAATACTGCACACCTTAGGACTGCGGCATGCTGTAGACAGACTGACTGTAGACCAGGATGAAATCTCATTACGGCCACACTATTCTGTAAGTTCCAAAAGTTCCAGTCCTCGGAAAAAGGATGAGTTACTGGATTAGCTTTGCCAGCTAGTAAGGAAGAGATCATAGGATGATGGGACACGCGCAGACTTATTTGCGACGTTATACCTAGGTTCCAAGTACGGGGCAAGTTGAGTAGCTGTATGCGATGCGGGCCCGCTTTCAGGAAATTTACCCGGGTGAAAATTCCCTCAGTGACAATGAAGGGGCTCGGTTGGCTTGCGAAATCAACACCAGACTGCACGTGTCGAGAGCCTAGCTGCCTGCAGGCACGCGATCCTGGAGACAGTTAGACACATGCTGCAGATCATGCGCACATGAGCAAACGCTTTGACCAACTCACATGCAATCGTGTGTGTGTAGCGCATGCTTAACCAAGTGCGTGTAGAGGTCGATCAAGGCTGAGCCAGCCTCTATATTGAAGCCGGGCCACAGTCGCAACTGTCTTCAATTTACGTCTGGCTGTGCGGCCAGACCCGCAGAGCCTTAAGAGCTTACATATAGCTGGCATGCAATCTCATAGGATGATCAGGAGCAGGCTGCCAGCCCACTGCAATCTACTGTTGCATCAGTCAACTCACAATTGTGAGTTGACCTTAAGGAACTTGACCGGTTTGATTCATGCCATGCAAGCTATTGCATACAATTCGGCCAAGTGATCGGACCGGAGGGCCTAGAGCCGCCTCGGTGCGCCATATCTTGCGACGGCATGCAATGGCTGCAGTGTCGTAAAGCAGACAGAAGCGTAGACAACTCAGTTTCAATGTTCTATACCTTGTATCTCACCAGCTATCACTGCTTAAACAGCTACCGCAATTACGTATCGAAAGTGTTTGATTTTAGCGTCCTGGGCTGGTCAGACACGTGAAGTTCATTCGACCAGGGTGACAGTGTTGAGACCTGGTAACATTTGGAGCAGCTTTGCCGTACCAATCATTTTCAAACCGATAATCTTGTGCATGCGCTACCGTCAATTACGGCTGCTCATCTTTCAAGCTCTTCATCGGCTGCAAAGCGGCTTCCAAATGGAGGGGTCCGCGCGTATCCAATAAATACCCCTCCGCCGAGATACTTTATGCTGCCTCCCTGTATGCGAGCCACGCTTGCTTGGCGCCGTTCTCCGTATCGTCGAGCAGCTTCACCTGCCGCTCCATCTCTTGCTGGAGCTCCGTCAGCTTCTGCTGAAACGCGACGAAGATGGCGTCGTACTCGGCGGGCTGATCCGCTGGCAGAGAGACAGACGAACGGTGGGAAAGTTTCAGCGTTTCGAACTTGGGAAAGCGTACTATTATACCGAACTCTTTGAACGTCGTTCGATTGTCTCCTTCCGTTTCCCATCAGGATAGAAGAGCACCAGTTCGTGCAATCTGGAGCTGAATATCCTCAGCTTTCCCACCTTCCGGGCTGCCCTTACTTAGGAGAGACAATCGGAGACTACGACTTGACTTCATTCTCTACCGAAGCCTGCTGTGTGAGCGTCCTCCCGTCTCGAAGTGAACGCAAAGATGCGACCAGGAAGCTGATAAGCCATGACGTGATTGGATCTCAAGAGACGCAAGCTATCCCCTCGCTTCAAACGAAACACGAAGCCATTGCAACTCAAGGTACCCCTGGGGCTTCGATCCACGTTAGGACACTCACTGACCAGGACACGCTTCAGAAACGGCTTCCCAGGCCAAAACCAACAAGCCGCCCTTATGGCACGCACAGGAAAGTCCCAATCTCACCTGCGCTGTCCGCGGGCGGAATGCCCAGATGCCGCCGGACTTTGTTCTTCTGATACATGGCCTCCATCTCCGCCCGCTTGGCCCCCGTCGCGAGCTCGTTCTTGCGGTTCCACTCGCGCTGCAAGTGCGTGCGCTGGTTGCGCGCGAGCGCGCCCAGGGTCGCGTCGAAGTCGCCCGTGCGCTCCAGCTCGTTGAACAGCGCGAGCGGGGGCGTCTCCGTGGTCGAGGGGAGCACGTCTGCGATGGATCGAACAGGTTTCTTACTCTAGCTTTCGCAAGCCTTCTGTTCTAGGACCAGGGTAGCTGGCAGAACGTGTTCGGTTCAGAAAGGTAGTCAATTCGTAGACGTGGCGTCTGAGGGTAGGAAAGATCGACGAAGCAATCAAGAAAAGAAAGAGAAGTTCGAGAGGTGAAAGGCGGTCTGAGTAAGCGGACATAGCGCTAATGCCTTCTGGTCCAGAAATTTGAAAACGGCGTCGTCATTCTTCGCACTGCCACCACTATCAACCAAGAATCTGACCGACTTACTGACAGTGAGACGTGACGAAGTTCCGTAAATGGACCGTAAAGACACAACTTCTTGGCGCAAGCGCTTCTCGAGTACAGTCCGCAGTACAAATCTTGGTGCCCACTTTTCGAGCACGTTCTTGGCCCTCACCGAGCAAGTCGCGGATCGCCCGCAGGCACCGCTCGCGCGCCGCCCTCACGCTCTCCCCGACCGCCCGCTCGCGCGCCTCCTCGTCGCCCTCCCCAATCAGCGCCCGCCGCCGCGCGCGCAGCTGCACCAACTCCGCGTCCGTGCGGTTCCGCGCCGCCTCTAGTTCCCCAATCCGCTCGTCCAGCTCCGGAACGGCCATCGCCTCCAACACGCGCGCCTCTTTCTCCCCGCGCGTGCGCAGCGCGCACACGAGCGCCGCGATCTCCGCGTCCTCCCGGGAGACGGGCTCGACACGCGGCGCGCGGGGCTCGGCTGACGTGGACGGCCCCGCGCCGTCGCCGCCGTCGGCCGGGGGAGCGCGCCGGGGGGTTAGCTGCTTCCGGGATGACGTTTTCGGGGAGCTTATAGCGAGCTTCTTGATAGAAGCCCCGTTTTCAGCCGCTTTCTCCGTCTTTTTACCCAGCCGTTTCCCGAGGCCTTTCCCCAGGCCTTTGTCGGCCCCCGGCTTCGTGACCTTCTTTTTCTTAAGCTTCAACGCGGCGACCGGGGAAAACCCCGGCGCAAACTTCCCCGACCGGTCACGTTCCTGGGACGCTGCGATCAGCTGGTGGAGCGTCTGACTATCCGTCAGCTTATCGCCCGTTTTCAGTTTCTTGGCCGGGGGGGTGCCTAAGGCAAACCCGGACGCCCCTGCTTCCTGGTCCCCCCCCTTAGTGTCCTCATATGCAGCCCCCGCGCCGCTGGGGGGATACAACAGAGTCCGTAGCGGATCGGGTTTGGGGACCTTCTTCTTCAACTTCTTTTCTCCTGTACAAGGACTCCAGACAGTATAAGCGTCGAAAGAGGGATCAGTCGGACGGCGTCGTCCAGCACCTCAAAGCTTAGTTGGCCTCAAAACGACGGAGCTTCCAGGGCCAGGACGTAACCAGTCAATTGAAAACCTCAGTTCCATAAAGCAAGCCTCTGCTGGACTATCGGCTCCTGAAAAGTCATAAACGCAGGCATCTTTCAGACTGTTCGAAGTGCTTCTGTCCTTGGCCTCTTGTCAAAACGAAGATGAACCAGTCCGTTATCCGTACAGTGGCTCACGTTCCGTATCATCAGGTTGGTTTAACGCGGATCTACGAGTCAACGGCCTTTGAATTCGAAAGAAAGTGGAGAGCAGTTCTTCGCTTGTCGATTGCTCAACAGGATTATTGAAACTCTTCGAAAGCGACCTTGCTACTGGCCTTCGGACTCTAGACTGTCAGATGCGCCATTAAGCTACGGGCTCAGAGAATTAAGCTACGGGCTCAGAGACCGCAACCTCGCAATTACGATGCAAGCTAATTCGACTTTCTGGGAGAGTAGCTCCCAGACGTACCGGTGGCCAGCCCCTTCGGCTTCGTGACCATCTTGGGCTGCCGCTCGAGCTTCGGCTTGGGCGGCGGCGCGGGCTTGACCTTGGACGGCCGCCCGAGGCCCATGGCCTTGCAGATGTCGCTCTTGAGCTCGGGGACCCGGATCAGTTTCCTGTGGATGTCGTTCTGTTCTTTCAGGATGAAGAGCATGAGCGACAACAGCGGCTGGTGCAGCGACCAGATGAGGTCCGCGTTGACCTGCGGCTTGATCTGCAGGAACTCTTCACGCACGGGGGCGAGGCCGCGTTCTTTGATGACGTCTTCCATGCGGAAGAGGATGTCGCGGCCGCCCTTCTGGTTGAGGAGCTTGTTGAGGGAGTACCACTTGTCGGGGCTGTGGAGCAGGGCCGAGTAGCTCTTCTCGACGGTCTGGCCAAGCTGGATCAAAGAGGGCAAGTCGTTCAGTTGTAAAAACTAGGAAAGACTATCTACAGACAGGACACGAAGCGAGGCTTTTGTTTAGACCGTTTGCAGACACGTCGTGGATTTTCTGGGTGGAAGGAGGACTGCAGAGAGCACGACAAAACTCGAATAGAAGTACCTGCTGGTAAACCATCTTTACCCCTGTACGTTCGTGCTTTTGTGCTGATCGTTTTCGCCGTGATTCGTCAAGTCAATGCGCAGATGAATCCAGTCAACTCTCGGAGTCGAAGTCGATTACTTACTCCAAGTCAGTGCAAACTTTGAACAAAGTCAAAATTGGCCTAGACATAGGGACGGAGGAATAAAGGCCAGTATCTTATGGACGATGCATGCTCGTTTCGACGAGGATTTACACCCTTCGCCAGCTTCAGTATCAGAGTTCGTCACAAGCTGGCTTGCAATGAAACAAATGCCCGTCCTCAGGGGACCAATGATCTGTATCCGTCTCGGATTCGACCAATTGCACCTCTTAGCGGGGCCTCTTTCAATTACGAAAACAGAACGAAGATAGAGAGGTAGTGCAGGATCAGGTACCAGTTTTGTTCAACAATGCTGCAGAAGCAACATCCTGGCACCCCATGCCCCAAAACCCGAGACAAATGGAAGGGATCTCCACGAAACTCTAAGCGCACAGTATTAAGTAAAGGAATAAACAGGCTTCCCGTTGGCCACAGAGATCGCGTCAGCCAGAAGAAGTCTTATATTGAAAACATTGTGATTTTCGTTTCTTATGCCTGCTTTCAATCTGCCGTGCACTCTGGCATTGAGGTACATAATCGGTTTGTGGTACAAGACTGAAGGTAGGCGCCTCACTTTTGATAAGTTCATGTCACCAGTCCATGGAGATTCAGGCGCGATCAAGTCTTCCTCCTTTGGGGCCAACATGGAAGTTCCTGCAACACGAAACAAATCGCTCCTTATTTTCCCCTTGGTTGAAGTGGCTGTGCGTTGGAAGCAACCACCAAAAGCTTCTGCGCATTGGAAGGTTACTTACTTCTGACATTCCACAAGGAAGCAACTTACCTTCGTTTTGAGGAAGCTGTGAGGGGGCTTGCATATCCACAAGCTCAATTTCCTGCTCCTTGGCCAACTCTGTAGCCAGAAGCTCTGCAAAACATGCCCGGCATAGTTGGTGATCAGCGCCCCCGCTCATATGATACATGCCAGTCAACAACAAGCAAGTGTTCCGCAAAGCGATCCAAGCAGGCCAACGCAAGTGCACCTAACAGATGTAGAAGAATAGAGTTCGAAATCGATTTTCAACAGAATGTGCCCGTTCATTCACTTGCAATGTTGCCATTGCAAGTTCATGCAGAGGTGCATGAAACCCCTTGCTGGTTGACACTCGCTTGGTGACCAACTCATAGGATCTTTGCCTCAATTTCGGTTCTGGTGATCAAATCCTTCCAAAACATGTAAGTGGAGGAATATGCATACCTGCATTGTTTTCAGGGTTTGAAGCACTGGGGGTGGCCGCTTGGTCAGACTGCTCCAACCCAGAGCCATGCTTGTTCATCACATGCCTGACCCTCATCCTCGTCCTTATTCGACTGTGCTGGAAACGTCTCCTTGATCAACGAATGCCCCTATGCTAAAGAAAATCTCGATTTTAGGTTGCATAAAAGAATCTACAGGCTGTAGCCTAGGAACAAGCAGATGATCAGACTGCAAAGCTCTCAGATCTGCAGCTTTGATCTGAACGTCAATGCCTGCAGCCCCGATAAGAAAACGTATGCCGGCTTCGAGTACCTCGAAGTTCGTGATCTGTGGTGCAAAGCTGGCTTCTTGCTCCTTGTCATAAAATCAGGCAGCTCTGCGTTTGGACATCTGCTTTTCACAGGCCTACCACGCTGTGGTCACTAAGCACTCCTTAGCTTCATCCGCCAACAGGACAAACGTTCTTGCAGCGAAGGTTGAGAAGAGCGAAGCTAAGCGAGGCACCGAGCAGGAAGCGCCTGAACGGAGGCCGCCATTTTCATCTGCGGAGCATTCTAAAAATTGTGCAGGCTGATCTTGCGGTTCGGTCACGGTGTCAACTTGCATGAGGCTCGTACGTCAAGAGTTCCGGATTCGGTTATCGATTGTCGAAGAACTTGAGGAATGAGGAAGGGCTCTTCCCGTTCGACGTCGATGATAGAGGTAATGGTTCACGAGCGATATCCGTTCTGTCACCATTACCTGACATGATTGTTCGGACTATCTTTTCGAATCGAAAGCAGAAGGCTGGACGCGCTGGAAAGCTGGGTTCGATACTGACGGTTTCTGATTCCGCAGTTCTGGCCAAACCTGAACCGCGCATGCGCCGCCCTAGTACCGACTTCGAAGGAGGACTCGGCTGATTTGCTAGGCCGGCCGGTAAAGTGGCGGCCACCAGAGAACGTTCGTTGGTCCCTCTGCTTCGCTCTTTCGCCTTCTGTTTTCCTGCACAATTCCTGCTCTCCTGATCGTACGAAGCAGCGTGTTTCAAAATGCCCCTCTTTGTGCTCTTTACACGACCCAGACACTCACCTAAAATCCTATAAGTGATCACCGGGACATTGCGAGTTGCTGCAAAGATTGGCTCTTTCAGAAAAAAAGTGAGGAGCAACAAAGCGCACACATTACGAAGTCCGAAGCTCGAGGCTGCTTCACGTCCTCCCTTCTCGAGCTGCTGACCGTTCTGTCTATGGGAAGCAATCGGTGGAATGCTACTTGTTGCAGAATTTTCCAGTATCCATTTTCTCTGATGCAAGCTGAAATTGAGGTAAATTCTGTGAGACACGTGATTGTTGAGCAGGACGTCATCTTCCTAAACGGTCGAACAAGGGCAAAATCATGAGAGTCAGGCATGTAATGAAGAAGCAAGGCTCAGGTATGGAGCAGTCTGACCCAGCAACGACCCCAACGGCTGCGCCTTCTAGAAATGATGCAGGTTTGTGCAAGCTATTACATGCACACTGAAGTACATCTAACAACATGTTTTCAACTGAAATATGCCCTGGCCATATTCATCAATCTTCATCTCTGAGATTTGATGAGCAGCCTTGAAAGTGTGTTTTTTGCAATCTATGCACTATATCTCCACCACAAATTTCATATTCGAGTGCACTTCTCTGTCGCTCTTTAATGCAGCATTGCAGCAATTGCATCTATTAGGATCAGAGGCAGTGTCTGATCTAGCATTCTGGCACTCTTGAAGCCCTGTACTTAAGCCACCAACACTCCCATCTTGTTTTTGCATTGCAGATACTCTTGCCACAGCTATGGCCACGCCGCAGAAGGATGAGCAAGTGGTCAACATGCTGGACATTGAAGATGAAGGTATGTTTCTTCTGATATCCAGATGATTGATGCGACTGATGCATGATCAACCACCATTGTGCATTGCGAACTACTTGTTGCAGGAAGGAGAATGGTCACCCAGTGCACTTTGTTGCCCATTTTCTCATTTTGTCTGTTGCAGGAACTCCAGTTGTGTCCCCAAAGGAAGAAGATTTGGATCCACTAGACTCGCCTTGGACGGGTGATGAAGTTCCAGGAAGAGTGAGGGGCCATCTGCTTTCCATCAATCAAGTTCTTCATGTGACCTGTAAATGAGTAAGATGGATTGTGATGGCTTTGTGATTTGTTGGACAAGCTTCCCTGAACCTCCCTATATGACTGGAAGGAAAGGAGAAACGTACAAGTCTTGTTACTCATTTTCCAATCTTGCTGTACACAATCCTTGAGATGCTATCTTGAATAACCTGTTCACAGCTTTTTGAAAAGCTCGACGGTGATGCAAGCTGGTCCTTGAAAAGGTGCAACGGCTGAATCAAGCCTAAGGACAATCATTGCCACAATGACAGCTTTAAATTTCACCTTCTTGATTTCTCGTCTTCCTGACTTGTTGTGACAAGAGAATCCTTGAAGGAAATTAAATTCGATATCCGAATTGCTTGAATGGATGTCTTTTCTGAAGGCAGACTTCAAGATTCATGACAAAGGTATGTGTTGAGTAGGGTTGAGACTGCGGCTGAAGTACAGGGTTCTTGCTCTCATCTAGAAACTTTTCAGCTTTTGGACTTTTAGGAATGCAGTGAAAGCAAAGAGATGTCCTGCAAGCGAGAGCAAAGAGATGTCTTACAAGCGAATCTGAATCCAAGAAGGCAAACGGTTTGTTACAAATGGTAACTCTGGGGTGACATATTAGCTCGCACATCAGCCTCAACTTTAAGAAAATATACATTGAATGAACACCCCATCTCGCATACAGCGAGCGTGAACTGACTGAAGTTGGACGTTAGAAGTTGTTGGGTTCGAGAACAGACTTTGTGCAGGACCACTTCAGAAAGCTTATATTGGTGCCACGAAAAGGTCTACATAAAGGTCCTTGTTCTCTTTCCGTGCGGTTCCGGTTCCTTGTCTGTCACACTCGAGAAGGAGTCTGCGACAGTTGACAGCAATTTTTTCATGGCTGCACCGCAGTATCAACCACCACTTCTCCATGCTTCAAGTGCATCGCCTAAGTGCATCGCCTCTTTTCTGACCAGCTCGAGCAAGTCATCAAGGACAGCTACTCGGCCCTGCTCCACAGCCCTGAGACGTGGTACTCCCTCAACAAGCGCCTCAACAAGAAGGGCGCCCGTCACGTCCTCTTTGGCATGGAAGACGTCATCAAGGAACGCGGCCCCGCGGTGGTTCGGGAGGAGTTCTTGCAGATCAAGCCGCAGATTAACGCGGACCTCATCTGGTCGCTGCACCAGCCGCTACTGTCGCTCATGCTCTTCATCCTGCGCGGAAACAACGACATCCACAAGAAGCTCATCAAGGTTCCGGAACTGAAGAGCGATATCTGCCGAGCCATGGGCCTAGGGAGACCGTCCAAGAAGCCCCCACCGACTCCGAAGCCGAAGCTCGAGCGCACTGCCAAGAAGCTCAAGGGGACGATCCCTGGTGAGTGCATATCGTAGTTTCGGGGATGCCAAGTACGAATTTTGAATCCAGGGAAACTTGGTGCACCGGTTTTCCCTTCTATCCTAGATCAGGAGACGGATCCAGCATCTTTGTCACGAGAATAAGTTGGTGCATCTAAGGATTACAGACAATCTGCAATTGTGCATATGAGGACAGAGCTTTCAGCCTCTCGAGCGTAGAGATTCGATGCCATCCGTTAGTATCAAGAAGACGCCCCGTTATGGGGTTGACGACCCTGTTCCTTTGCCAGAGTAAGAGGCAAGAGCGGTTTCACTTTTGAGTTGAGTGCAAACTGAGTGCAAACGCACAGAAGAATACATCGAAGCTTCAATCAGACTTTTCAAGTAAACTGCAAACGATCAAAAGCAACCTTCGAAGTTTTACTCAGGGCTCCATCCACAGTCGACTGCAAACGATGCGAAGCATTGAGATGTTCTCAAATCAGAATCTTCCTGTCCGTGCAGGAAAGAAGAAGCTCAAGAAGTTGAGCCTCCTCACGATCGGCTTGAAGAAACGGCACCCGGAGGATGACGCCGGCCCGGCTGAGCCGAGTGAAGAGACCAAGAAAGGCCCCGGAAGGCCGAAACTCGTCAAGCCCCGGGCGTCCACCGACCCGCCGCCAGCGAAGAAGCTCAAAACGGGCAACACGGACAGCCAGACGCTCCACCAACTGATTGCCTCGTCTCAGGAACGCGACCGGTCGGGAAAGTTTGCCCCAGGGTTCTCCCCGACTGCCGCCGCCAAGCTGAAGAAAGTCATAAAGAAGCCGGTGTCGCTCGGCCAGGGCGCCGATCCCGGGGTCGTTCCGAAGAAGAAACCGGGCCTTGCGACGGACAGACCCGCGCCCGCAAAAAAGCCGAAGTTGAAGCGCGGCCGGCCGCCGAAGGTCCCGAGCGCGCTGGCGCCCGAGCCCGTCGACGAGGCGCTGGCGTACGTGCCGCGCGAGACGGACGGGGACTCGCTCGAGGACGCGGAGATTGCGGCGCTCGTCGCCGCGCTGCGCGCCCGGGGCGCGCGCGACGTGCGCGGCCGGGAGGAGCTGGCGCTCCTCGACCTGGAGGAGCGCATCGTCGAGCTGGAGGTCGCGCACCGGCGGGGCGAGGCGGAGCTCGCGCAGCTGCGCGCGCGACGGGAGGCGCTGCAAAGGGAGCGGCTCGGCGCGGCGGGCGAGACGGACGTGCCGGAGCCGGTGCGCGCGGCGCGGGAGCGGTGCCTCCGGGCGATCGTCGACCTCCTCGGTGAGGTTTCCGCAGGCTGCAGCGCCCCCAATAATGTGCAGGGAGTCCCTGTCAGCACGTGCCGGAAGTTCAGGTTAGATTGTAATGCAAGATCTGTCGGGTTCCGTGGGAAGTTGTTGTCGATATGTGCAGGGAGTTCCATAAAGTGCGGCGGGTCTATTTCTAAACGAGGAGGATTTGCTGTAGATATTGTCTCTCAGTACATACAGAGTCTCTGTGTAATTTTTACTCAGACGGTTGCCTTTGTTTCGTGGGAATTTGGACATAGGCCCAAAACGGTGAGATTGTTACGTCGAACTGGTCCTTCAAGCATTCGAGCGAGGAGAACGACTCTTTCGGTGCCCCGAAACTTTCTACTCTCGTTCAAACTCTGTCCTCTGTCTGCTTTGATGTACGCCAAGGTTATCAATCTTCCAAACCCCGCTTATTCATGTAAGATACGTCGGCCAGTGTACCCTGCCCTGCAATGCATCGTGTACTCCCGAGCCTGCTTTCTGCCTTCTTCTAGGTGTCACATTTCTGGGCCTTCCCTTCGGTCTCAGGACAAAAACTCGGTTCAGGGTGTCATCTTTCAGACACGCGGACGTAATTGCCGTGACTTTTTTGAGGGTTCTTTGCAGCCAGAGGGCACTCATCAGGTCGGCACCAGACGTTAGCATTGTGCAGAGATTGCAGCCACAACACTTACTTCCGGTGCGTTCCGCCGTTCCGTTCACATTCCGTCCATCATCACCCACAAACTCGTTCCGCCCTCTGATTCCGCCGCAGACGTGCTTCCGGCTAGTCTGGACCTGAACGGTATCGAAGTCTTCAACGAGCTCGAGCACACGGACGCCTTCGACGCGACCCTGGGTGCGCTCGCGAGCAAGCAGCGCGCGTACCTGCAGCGAGACTGGGAGCGCAAGAACGCGCTCGCGGCGCACGCCAAGCGGGCCGAGTTGGAGGCCATGCGCCACAAGAACAACGTGCGGGAACACCTCGGCATCCTGGCCGCCAGCAGCGCCGGTGGGTTTCGGAAGTCGAGTGTTTGGTGCAACTGGCTTCCGTGTATTGGCGAGAGATATTGGCGTTTTGGAATAAGCTGTGACCGCGGACAGATAGAAATTTCTGCTGCATTCGCGCCCTACTACATTGTGCGCCCGTAATCGCGCGTCCCAATCCACGGAGCAGATCCCTTCTTACCTGGAGAAATTCGTTGACACGTACCACGATGTCAACGAGAACCGGAGAGGTCTGCCTGAAATCTAGCTGCGCTTTCTTTTGCCCAGACGAGGCAGCGGAGTGCAATGCCGTCTTCAGCGCCTTCCAGCTCAAACTGATCGAGCTCCGGCGGGAGATGGAGCGGAAAGTGAACCTCCTTGCTGAGAAGGAGAAGCTTGCCAGGCAGGCCTGGCTCGTATACAGGGCAGCGGCGGCATAAATTATCACCAGCACGGCGTCTATTTATTGGCTAGCCTGATTAGATCCCGCAGCTGTTCACAATCTCGCATAGATAGTGACTTCGTCAGGAGGGATCAGTGTTTGTGTAGACAGTTCTTCTGACTTGCAGTCATAAACATGAGTGTTGGACCACGGGTGTTGTTCCCAAGGTCAACCAACTTTCCGAAGCTCATTAAGGTCGTCGGAACTTATTAGAAGCCTTCGCTAAGAAGCAGCTTCATATACGTTTCTTGCAAGAGGAACGTCGTTACTTCGAGTGTAGTCCGCAGCGTAAGTCTGCTTCAGGGAAGCAATCATTCCAAACGAAAACGACCAGACTCGTAAAAGCCGTCCCATGTCTCCAGTCAATTTGATCGTATCCAATCTGCAGCCTGTGAGAATTGCATTGCGTACGGTAGATGAGGTGCGAACAAGAAGTTCTAGTGAAGCATGCAGTAGACAGTGAAGTATGCAGTTGATTAAAGCATGAACTAGATCGATCGGATGCAGCGAATCATATGTACCGCAAGTTAATGACCCGGTCGAGCTTTCGACAATATCAACTGCATATGTACGCGAAACCTCATTAAAGGTTGAGGCCATATGAGTCCCATGCACGAACTACGACGATCCGAAGCATGATCATTCCACCAATCAAATTATGTCGCGTATGACTTTAGTAATGAACTAGCAATTTCCAATAAATTGCTTGCATGCATGCCGAGTATATATCCGACATGCTGCATCATCTAGTTTCATGGGATTTGTCGATCGATCAGTGCATGTCCAATAAGTATGCCCAGGCCGGCAGACAGGTCATGCACAGTACGGACTCAGGTTGCAAACAAGGTTGACTCTGTCGATGCTTTAGCGGCCCAGGAGCTAAGTCATGCATGACATGCAAATCAAGCAAACATGCTGTTAGTCCAAGACCCCAACTGGCTGTGCGCATCCTTACGAACTCGACCAGAGCTTTCCTTTGCGATTTGGATGTAGCATAAAGAAGCACGTCAACATAACCTCCTCCACCAGACCAGTATGCACCGCAACAATTTAGTCCCGCCGAGAGCGCTGATGCGTGCGCCTTTGTCCGCTGTACACAACTAAGACGACAAATGCCTAACGTTTTATTCGGAAGTGACGAACGACCACCATGTACAAGCTCGTCAGACGTCTTTATCTCAGAAAGTCATTCTCAAAGATGCGAACCCACTGCCTCCGCTGTCTCCAAAGATGCAGAGCCAACTCGTTAAGGCTTCATAACTGTTTTTCCCGCTGGTACTACCACTTTCCGCGGTGCGCTTTCTTGTCGTCTGCAGCAAGAGCAAAGGGGAATTTGAAGTTAATTGGTAGGACAGCATGTGCCTAAGAATTGCTGGTGAGCTCACTTTGAATCAACGTTGGACCAGATGCAAGAAAGCTATCCCAACTCCCAGCGGGACTCTGAGCAACATCACAAGAAGTATGGTTCTCAAGATCCTATATGAAGACCCCCAGGATAGCTGCAATCGACATGCGCTACAAAGGGAGGATGCTGACGAACTTCGCTGCATCTTGCAAGATAAAAACCTCACATTTGGACATGAAAATAAGCGGCAAGCAGAGCATCGACTACATTAGGTCTCAAAAGAAACTGAGTTGCCACGTAATGTCAAGCGTCAAACGGCTAACTCCAGACTGGTGACTACAGCCAATGAAAACGAAAATTGAATTTGCCGATTGTTCCAGATTTGAGTTGAGGCCGTACCGCCGATGAACAGCTTCTAAGATGAGCAGCCTAGGTCCCGGGGGGATGTGTACGTCCTTCAACGAACTGCAATGCGAGAGCAGTCGTTTAGCATTGGCCCATGCCTTGGCCTGTGTGTTGTTTGAACTATAGCGGTTTCAGGGGAAAGAGGCCTTACTTTTGCTCAACGGTTGTTCGTCGCTCTTCTTCAAGAGGACACGACAAGCTTTCGTCATTCATCTTCGTCCATGACCACAATTGTGCGCTATCTCCAAAAACTTCGACGTTGTTGCTGGAAGGTCAAACAAAAGCGCTCGAACGGACCAGATCGATGGCAGAGGGAATTCACGGACCTAGAGGGGGCGCAGAAAGCTGCCAAAGACATCTCGCAACATCTCCGACCAACACGGCATGCAAAATGCGAGGGATCCCAACAGCTCAGTCCAGAGCAACAGAGACTTTCCCACCTATCAGTCGGCACGGGCGACAGGCACGGAAGGGGCTCGATTGGAACAGCACGCAAATGCTAGAGTAAGCAGAAACAGAACAAAAGCACAAAACTCAACGAAAGCAGATGCTGGAGGGAGCAGGCAGAGCGTGGACGAAACCACCGATGAGCGTAAGGCCCCCCAATCTCAGAAACGAAAAACTGACAGAGTACGGTCGCCCAGCTGGCACGTCTTGAGGCCATCTCAAACCGTCCGAGACTGACTGACAGAAAGGTAAGAGGGTAAGCGACTCAGGCGGACGCAAGGAAAGGCAGGCAGAGAAGCATTTGCAAGAAGCCGGAGCCGGCAGCAAGTGCAGATACACACAGCGTCGGAAACAAGAACAGAAGATAACGAGAAACGAAAGTATCGAAGGCCCCGCCGAATTGTCAGCAGCGCCTCTGTCCAATCGTTGAGCCGGCCCCTCCTGGGATTCCTCACACAGGTAGAAGGCACAAGAAAGGACCACATTCATCGCCGCAAAAGCAGGCGGAGAAGGAACCTTCGGAGGAAGGAGGAGCCAGCAGCTACCAACAAGCATTGAGTTGAGAAAGAACGTAAGACAGAGTAGAGTAGAAGCTAGTAACTCATAGTAGGAACCGGTGTAAGGCTCGCTTTCAGGGAATCTGCCAGCAGCGGCTGCACCCAAAAGTTGAGCTGGCCGTTCTTTTCAGCTCAAACTTCTAGACGTACCGGACGGATCATAACCAGTCGAAGCGCCAGGAAGAAGCAGCCAAAAAAGAAACCCTCAGCACCAGCAGCTACCGACGATCAAAATAGAACAAGAAGGTAGACAGCAAGAAAGGATCAGAAGGCAGGCCCCACTTATCCGTCAGCAGCGGCAGCACCCGGTCGTTCAGCTGGCCCAGTTCCGCTCATTGTTCTCCAAAGAATGACCAAAGTAACCCCCAAGAAACAGCAGCCAGAGAGGACCCCTCAGCCCAGCAACTACCAAAACTTGTGCAATGAGTAAAGACTAAGAACGGAGTGTCAAGAGAAGCCCCACCTATCCGTCAGCAGCGGCAGCACCCGGTCTTTCAGCTGGCGCGCATCAAGTTCCGCTCGGGCCTCTCCAGGAGACACAATGGAAAGCGACCAGACTAAGCGTTATGACGACGCAGCCAGAAAGGCAGACTCAACCCAGCAACTACCAAGATATGTTAGCTGGCCCCACCTATCCGTCAGCAGCGGCAGGACCCGGTCGTTCAGCTGTCCGCGCTTCAGGTTCTTCTCGTATTTCTCCAGGCCGAGGTCCTGCAAGACGCGCCGCGTGTGGATGTAGTCCAAGTCGTCTTGCGGCTTAGGGGAAAACCGCTGGCCCACCTGCACAAACCCACGGTCGACGGGGGGGTTTAGCAAGGGGTTAGCAAGGAGGCTTAACGTGGGTTTCATAGAAACTGGTGGTCAACGGTCGTTCTGCAGCTTGGGTAACAACCTCTGGCCAACCTGCACAAACTCAGCGTTGACAGGGGTGTAACCGACGCGTTAGCAGAGGCCAATAAGACTCAATGGACATCCAGGGGTCGAACAGTCCAGATCTGTTGATGTGGTGGAGTGGGCCTTCGAGCCTTAGGGCTTCCAAATTACTACAACCTCTAACATCCTGTCCTGACGGACCTTAACAGGTAGATCGCCGCTTTTTGTCGCACTCAACATTCATTTCCTATTGGCTGGGATTCTTTGAGTGCCTCCCGTCTGCCCGATCTAGGCCTTTTGTAACTTGGACAGTTCTGCTCCGCTTTCCTCGGGTTTGAAGCCATTGACGGTCCGGAGTACTGAAAAAGTGGTGACCACGCGGTTGGACGTCCGAGAAATGATAGGTTTCTGTGCCCCAGGCGTTCTGAAACCGTGACGATCTACCTGTGACTGCCTGACGTGGTTTTGAGGCACACTCCGCAACCCATTCCGGATGTAAAACTGGACCCGCATCTAATGGAGACTCTGCTTGCTTGCTTCTTAAAACTTCTGACGACGTGTGTCGGACCTCAGAGGTAGGTCACAAAGCTCAAAGTCAAAGAGGAGTGTGACGCTCGACACTGTCATACTCTCGATCCTGATTCAGAGTTCAAGCGTGTAAGGGCTTGGGACGAGCAACGACACCTTCAGTCAGCTGAACCCTCAACTATGGACGAACTTTCTGCACAGGTAAGATGCCACATGATTGCATGTCTGGAGTTCAAGCGGAAAGAAGTAGATCGCTGACCTGGTAGAGTGCTCCCTGGAAGACCGCAAACCCAACGCCCGATGAAAGTGCTGATCGTAGCTTTCCCCCCGGTGAATCAGTCCCCACGCCCGATACTAGCGAAAACGCAGCGCCTGAACCGAACGCGGGTAGTACTCTGCCAAACCGCGACGCCCGCTCATTAGGAATTCCGATTGAGTCGACAAAAGTGACGCGAGATTCTTACAGCCTGAAACTTGCATTCAAAGCTCTGGCGCACATTGAAATTACAGGAAGATTAGCAATTGCGGCTGTGTTCAATGTTACAGCTTTTGAACCAGTTCTTGCGCATCAAGAGCATCTTTCCACCAGCTCTGCACCAGAATAGACCATCATCAAAACCAGAAACTAGCTTTTTGACCAACACAACCATGGTACAGCTGCACGTCGAAACATCTTCGATAAGTAGAGTGACTAGAAGCGACTGCTTTTTGCATTCAAAAGTGGAGCGCCAAGAGCTACTGTGAGCGCGCTGCAGCGGTTTCGTGTCCCCTGATCCTAGTATCTGTTGCTGCTGTCTCTTTCAACATGGCGCCTGTCTCTTGATACAACGCCTATTTGTTACCGGAAAATGAGATCTGTGGGCTCACTGGTTGAGAAGATCGTCCTTTCCTTTCCTGTACCGCTTGAGCGCGGTCGAAATCCCCTGGTTCACTCCCGTAATGACCGCAAAATTTTTAGCTTGCACCATCGGACCCCCTGCTATGGCCTGCACAAAAGACAACCAGACTTTAGATGTTACAGCTGTCTAAAGCGACAGAAAAGCGAAGGCAAGCGACAGGAAAGCAGCAATGATATACGACATCCCATCCATCAGACACGCCATGCCGTGTTTGCTACTGGAATGAAGCAAGTAGAATCGTGACTGCGTTTTATAGAAGAATTTTTCAAAAGAATGGCTTTTAAATTGAGCTCTTGAGTTCCAAAACCATGAAATGCTGTACTTTAGTTTGGTCCACCTGACTCCGATTGTGCACTGCACCTTTTAAGAACCTATCTAGCTGGCTCGCATATGTCGTTCTGTCAGTTCGACATGACAACTACCAAGTCAAAACGGATTGCAACCAGACTTGTGCCTGGGGATGAGTAAAAAAAGAACAATCTGAAGTGCCCTCTACGAGCCAAGGAAGGATAACAAGATACACGTAAAACCCTAATGGCAGATGGGCCCAGCCAAGATTACCCGGCTTGATCTAGGGTTTGATCGAAATAGGAAGTGGTAAGATTGGAAACTGCACGAGACAGTTGGACGAAAAAAAGCCAGAGAAACGTCACGGTAGTATCGTAATTGACATACAGAGGACTCAGCTACAACCATAGCTACGCCCCTGCTAATTGGCAGCATTGACCACATAGTCCAGGACTAACATTGCAGCTTGAAGCAGCACAAGTGGTAAGTAAAAGCAGAGACAATTCAGCACTTTTCATACAACAAATAGCATTCACAGTGCGAAATAACGAAACACCTGCACGCCACTGGCGTCCAGCGACATGTAAAGACTTTTCAAAGAAACGTGCAGATGAATTTTATAGTGCAAAAAGGACTTGATTACTTCGGCCAGCAATATGCAAGTTCTGCAATGATTACAATCACATGGAAAGAAAACACCATTACCAAAGCCCACGCAAAAAGCAAACAAACTGAACCATGTCTTTATTCACCTTCATGCTGTCCAGCTTCACGTCTTGCCCCGGAGCCTGCCCCGGGACTTGACCCTCTGTGCCCATTTGCTGCGTGAGGTCCCCTGTCAGCTGCCCCATCAAAGCTCCTATAAACGCCCCCTGAATCCCCTGTCCTATCGTGGCCAAACCAATCTCCACAGGCGCGGGTTGCTTTTCCATCCATGCCGTCGTCTTTGTGCTAAGATCATTGAATTTTGCCTTGACCTTTTCAATCGGGTTGCCCTGCGAGATTGCCGCCCAAGGCGCGGGCTTGACCCGGGCCTTGACCGCATGCCGCTTCTTCTCATCCCTGCTCGCCATGCTGGAAAACCAAATCGCTCTTTCAGGTGTTCGTCGTTCTGTGAGCGGTTTGTGCTTGCCTCTGAGTCTTATATGATCCTTGAAGCTTTG